GTAATATTACACTCAGGAGTGTAGGGCTGCAGTAATATTACACTCAGGAGTGTAGGGCTGCAGTAATATTACACTCACGAGTGTAGGGCTGCAGTAATATTACACTCACGAGTGTAGGGCTGCAGTAATATTACACTCAGGAGTTACACTGCAGTATATAGGGAGGGCTCAGGGCGGGAGGCACTCACTATTATACACAGTTATATATAATGTCAGAGACATAATATAGTTTATGACGTGGACAATGGGCCCTAATGTAGGTAATACTGTAATAATGTCACTCTATTGGAGAGGGGCTTATAGTGGGGTTATATTATCTGATACCCCCCACACCACACCCCCACCCCCCCCCCCCCCCCCCACACCACACCCCCACACCACACCACACCCCCACACCCCCTCACCACACCCCCACACCCCCGCATCACACCCCCTCACCAGACCACCCACCCTCACCCTCACCCTCACCCTCTATATAACTTAACATCGGCCGAAAGGCGAAAGAGCACCACACTTATTCGCGTGGCAAGGATGATTTGCAGCAGAACGCAAATCATTCAGAGCTTACAATTTAAAAGAGGCGATTTATCACAGGTTACAATAATGAACATCATAGCGACTAATCACTAAACCAAGAATAACAACAGGCTCAAGATTAATTAATTACAATAATATATAGATAGGGCGTGTTCTACTAAATTATACGTCATGTAAACTCAACACTGCTACATGTAAACTGCTACTCTACTGAATCAAGAAATTACAAAATTGGCGGATTAAACTGGCAGCATAACACTCGTAGTTATTACATGTAGTTTAATATTATGCTGTATAATGTACCAGATTATTACTGTAAAATGTGAGATAAAGTTAATCTGCCGGAGATAAATGACAAGATTATTACAACTGTCAGCTATGTGCACTGTAACGCACTGTGTGTCAGCACTACTAGCCGGCTATGTGCACTGTAACGCACTGTGTGACTGTGTGTCAGCACTGCTAGCCGGCTATGTGCACTGTAACGCACTGTATGTCAGCACTGCTAGCCGGCTATGTGCACTGTAACGCACTGTGTATCAGCACTGCTAGCCGGCTATGTGCACTGTAACGCACTGTGTGTCAGCACTGCTAGCCGGCTATGTGCACTGTAACGCACTGTGTGTCAGCACTGCTAGCCGGCTATGTGCACTGTAACGCACTGTGTGTCAGCACTGCTAGCCGGCTATGTGCACTGTAACGCACTGTGTGTCAGCACTGCTAGCCGGCTATGTGCACTGTAACGCACTGTGTGTCAGCACTGCTAGCCGGCTATGTGCACTGTAACGCACTGTGTGTCAGCACTGCTAGCCGGCTATGTGCACTGTAACACACTGTAACGCACTGTGTGTCAGCACTGCTAGCCGGCTATGTGCACTGTAACGCACTGTGTGTCAGCACTGCTAGCCGGCTATGTGCACTGTAACACACTGTAACGCACTGTGTGTCAGCACTGCTAGCCGGCTATGTGCACTGTAACGCACTGTGTGTCAGCACTGCTAGCCGGCTATGTGCACTGTAACGCACTGTGTGTCAGCACTGCTAGCCGGCTATGTGCACTGTAACACACTGTAACGCACTGTGTGTCAGCACTGCTAGCCGGCTATGTGCACTGTAACGCACTGTGTGTCAGCACTGCTAGCCGGCTATGTGCACTGTAACACACTGTAACGCACTGTGTGTCAGCACTGCTAGCCGGCTATGTGCACTGTAACGCACTGTGTGTCAGCACTGCTAGCCGGCTATGTGCACTGTAACACACTGTAACGCACTGTGTGTCAGCACTGCTAGCCGGCTATGTGCACTGTAACGCACTGTGTGTCAGCACTGCTAGCCGGCTATGTGCACTGTAACGCACTGTGTGTCAGCACTGCTAGCCGGCTATGTGCACTGTAACGCACTGTGTGTCAGCACTGCTAGCCGGCTATGTGCACTGTAACGCACTGTGTATCAGCACTGCTAGCCGGCTATGTGCACTGTAATGCACTGTGTGTCAGCACTGCTAGCCGGCTATGTGCACTGTAACGCACTGTGTGTCAGCACTGTTAGCCGGCTATGTGCACTGTAACGCACTGTGTGTCAGCACTGCTAGCCGGCTATGTGCACTGTAACGCACTGTGTATCAGCACTGCTAGCCGGCTATGTGCACTGTAACGCACTGTGTGTCAGCACTGCTAGCCGGCTATGTGCACTGTAACACACTGTGTATCAGCACTGCTAGCCGGCTATGTGCACTGTAACGCACTGTGTGTCAGCACTGCTAGCCGGCTATGTGCACTGTAACGCACTGTGTATCAGCACTGCTAGCCGGCTATGTGCACTGTAACGCACTGTGTGTCAGCACTGCTAGCCGGCTATGTGCACTGTAACGCACTGTGTGTCAGCACTGCTAGCCGGCTATGTGCACTGTAACGCACTGTGTGTCAGCACTGCTAGCCGGCTATGTGCACTGTAACGCACTGTGTATCAGCACTGCTAGCCGGCTATGTGCACTGTAATGCACTGTGTGTCAGCACTGCTAGCCGGCTATGTGCACTGTAACGCACTGTGTGTCAGCACTGTTAGCCGGCTATGTGCACTGTAACGCACTGTGTGTCAGCACTGCTAGCCGGCTATGTGCACTGTAACGCACTGTGTATCAGCACTGCTAGCCGGCTATGTGCACTGTAACGCACTGTGTGTCAGCACTGCTAGCCGGCTATGTGCACTGTAACGCACTGTGTATCAGCACTGCTAGCCGGCTATGTGCACTGTAACGCACTGTGTGTCAGCACTGCTAGCCGGCTATGTGCACTGTAACGCACTGTGTATCAGCACTGCTAGCCGGCTATGTGCACTGTAACGCACTGTGTGTCAGCACTGCTAGCCGGCTATGTGCACTGTAACGCACTGTGTGTCAGCACTGCTAGCCGGCTATGTGCACTGTAACGCACTGTGTGTCAGCACTGCTAGCCGGCTATGTGCACTGTAACGCACTGTGTGTCAGCACTGCTAGCCGGCTATGTGCACTGTAACGCACTGTGTATCAGCACTGCTAGCCGGCTATGTGCACTGTAACGCACTGTGTGTCAGCACTGCTAGCCGGCTATGTGCACTGTAACGCACTGTGTATCAGCACTGCTAGCCGGCTATGTGCACTGTAACGCACTGTGTATCAGCACTGCTAGCCGGCTATGTGCACTGTAACGCACTGTGTGTCAGCACTGCTAGCCGGCTATGTGCACTGTAACGCACTGTGTGTCAGCACTGCTAGCCGGCTATGTGCACTGTAACGCACTGTGTGTCAGCACTGCTAGCCGGCTATGTGCACTGTAACGCAGGCTTGTAAAATGGTAGCTGGGGTGAGGGGGAGGTGAGGGGGAGGGGAGGGGGCCACTGGGTTGAAGTGCAACACCTTTCTGTCAGTCAGCAAAGCATTCAGGTTATATTGGGTACATAAGGTAAATTAAATAATGATCAACTATGCTCTTAACAAGTATAATCGCTGCACACATTTTATAAATGGAGACGAAATTAAAAAATAGGCACTATCCGTCGCGGAGTCGAGTCCGCGGCGGTCGAGTGGCACATCTTAACGGGGGATACGCGTATAAATTTCGATCGCTGACGTACAGCGAGCAGCACAGCTGCGAATGGCGTCAGCTAGTAGGATTTCATCCTACAAGGCACATCGCGTTTACCTAGCTAACCAGGTCATTTCCGCCTCCGGCGGTCGCGCGCTACTGCAAGCGAGAGGGCTATAGTTAGAGCAACACATCGCGCCACAAGCCAAATATTTATCAACATTTTGACTAGCTACGCGGTCCTTTTCCGCAATATGCGCTCGCGCTGTGCTCAAAAATTGACGTCGCCAATCAATCAGCATCAAGATTTTAGTTTTACATTTGACCTTTATGTCAAAAAATCTTTGAATTTTCAATCGGTGGTCGATGTTACCTGAGGACCTCAGGCTTCGTCCTTACTTCGTCACAGGACGATCGGAGCTCGAAGAGCGTAGAGAGTGCTGGCTGGCGTCGTCCTGTGATGGTCGACGTATTTTTGCTTGCTAAAAACGCTTCCCCATATGAGATAATATGACAAAAATTGTTTTGGTCACGTGACCAGTCAATGACATTGATATTTCGCTGCGGACGGTTTGGTGGAGGGTTAGGGTCAACGTTTATACATTATAGGGTCAAAGTTAGGACTAGAGTTGTACACTATTGACATTGTGAGGGTAATGGTTAAGGTTTATCACTAGCGACCTTTTCATCTGACCACAATATTGCAAAATGCTATGTTGTATGTCACGTGACAAATTTAGCCGAGGGTCGGAAGACGGAGGTCGGAAGTCAGTGGACTCTGTTGGAGTCCGGCGGACTCCGAGCGGAGTCCGCCGAGCTGGCGGAGTCCGCCAAGCTCCGCCGGACTCCGCCGGATTCAAGTCTGGCGGAGAGGTCCGGCGGAGTCCGCCAAGCACTCCGCCGGAGTCCGCGGCGGACCGGAGTCCGCCTAGTGGCTTAGTCCGCGGCGGACACTCCACCGAGCCGCCGCGGAGCCGCTCGGAGTCCGCGGCGGACTTTAAAGTCCGCTCGGAGTCCGCTCGGCTCCGCTCGGAGTCCGCCAAAATGTACTCGAGTCCACTGTAAATACATTTTGGCGGAGCACCGCCGGAGTCCGCTCGGAGTCCGGCGGCTCCGCCGGAGTCCGCTCGGAGTCCGCTCGAAGTCCGGCGGCTCCGCCGCGGACTCGACTCCGCGACGGATAGTGCCAAAAAATATGTCAGAAGCGCTGTACTGTGTCATTGCACTGTGTCACTGTACTGTGTCACTGCACTGTGTTTACGACATCAAGAAATAAACTGACAAGCACTTACTTTTAACCCCGTGAATTCATTTTGTAAAATATGTGGTAGAATTGTCCGAGCACTGCTTAATTTGGTTACTGACATTGATGTGAACAATAACAAATAAGTTAAGCAAATTGTCGCTATAATTTAGTTTTATTATTTATACTTATACGGGTATAATAGGTTTACATTCTGATACTGTCAGCAACTGTTGTTCAATAAATTCATTAAATAAGCAATTTTAACTTTAAACACAAAGCAATTTTAAGTAAAACTGGTTCAAGACATTATTTTGAAAATGGCGGAGTATTAATGATCAAATTTATTTTTCACTCATATCATAAATTATTTGCATCTATCTAGCTTGAAGTACAAATTATATCAGTGTATTCAGTGTATAAGTTCATAGTGGTGGGCTAATGTTTAGTCCCGGTGGTTATGTCCTGTTGTTGTAGCGCTATGCACTACTGTGCCGCGCCGCGCATCTTCTCGCAACCACAATATATGCAGATCGTCGAGATGCGAAGGATTGACATCGTGAATCAAGTCCTGTTGGTGGTGCCCCTCCTCCTCCGTGTAGCAGCAGCGTCTGCTGGGTCCACTACCCATAGTATTCCCTTCTGGGACCGGTTCGAGAAGTTGTTGTTCCTGGAGCACATGTACGCTACTGTCGTCTTCTCCGCGAACTTTAACACGTGCCCTGTAATCATTACCTAATGTTAATATCCCTAGTATGTGTAGTATATAATAGTGGGAGGTGAGTAACCCCCTAGTGAAGTGTAATATATAGTATCTGGTATAGTGAGGGGGGTAACCCCCTAGTGAAGTGTAACCACATAAACAATGTACCAAAGTAGCTGGCCGGAGCGTTGTTCAACAAGTCGTCCATATCTGTACCAGCTCCTAATACTTGATCCCCGTTCTCATTACAAACGTTTGCGGAGGCTGCAGCTCCTGCAGGGTTCCGGTTCGTGAGGAGTAAAAGGTAAACCTAGGTTAATAACAATTCATAACTCATTTTTCCCTACTCTTGCCGACAGCCGAAGGCAAAAAGATCGTAGGGATTAAGTAATCAGGTTTGGATATATGAGGTGGCCCGACGGTCCTACGGTGAAGACAAAAGTCTGCTCCTTCGCAATATAGACCATTCCCCTATAAGTATGTGCATTGGAAGCGTCTGTTGTGCTGCGCGCGACGCTAGCCATGTGTTAATTAATTACAGTGAAGTTCCTCCTTCGCAAAATTATTTTCCGCAATTTTCTGGATTCATTTATTGTTGATGCGCGCGGAGGTACATTGGTCAAATAAATCGTCAATTTTTTCCCGATCCATGACTCAAAGTGCCGAAGGCACAAAAGAGTCAAGGACAAGGGTTAGCGATCGAGGTTTTTTTGTATATGGTAGCTTTGCGACCGTGCGTGCGTGCGTGCGTGCGTGCCCTCGCCCCCAGTCTAGTTATCGCCCACGTGTCTGCCTGCGCAAAGTTATTTTGCGCGATCATCTGAATTAAACAATTGTTGGCGCGCGGTGCTGAAATGTTCAAGTACATTGTTAATTTTACCATGTACGCATCCCGATAGGGACTAATTGATAGCATTGTATTATTATTTTGAGTTAGTATTACTATTTTGCACAGATCCGTGTCAGGTTGCATAAACAATAAACATATAGTTACATAGAAATATACACGATTTTCAAATTCAATATAGAATTATATCAACTGGGCGGCGCTCGGCCTGTCACTCCGCCATATCTGCATGCTTATAAACAGCAAAGACTGGGGTCCCCAGGTGGTACTGGTATGGAATATGATAGAATACTTCATCCCGGATCGGGAAATTGAGCGGCCATCCACAAAAGAAAAGCGGCCGCATTTCTTGTTACCATGCGCGAACCCCACTCATTTATTAAAAACATAGTATGTAAATATGTTGCACTTTTTCCTGTTTCCAGTCACACTTTTCACTCGAAAGAATTAATGGTACAACTACAACTACAAGATACAACTACATCGTAAGGAAAATTGATCGTGCGTGGTTTAACCGCGGCGAAATTCGTGTTTAATTGTGGATTTCGTATTATTTTCTTGTGCATGCTCTGAGACGTGAGAATCTCTTTACTTACTAGCTCTACTACTAAGTACTAAGTACTCCGGTCTACTACTAAGTAAGGGGGGGGGGGGGGGGGGGGGTACCACTACTACTACTACTATACGTACCACAGTAGTAACCGGAACTGAAGAACCCAGCAGCAATATCTTTGGCAGTAGCGCTAGGCTGTGTCACTGATTTTACTTTGTCCCACAATGTCGTGTTTTCGAATGGGGCGGGGTAATTCTCTATCTCACCCTGCATCTCCAGGAAGTTAGATCTGTCGGTACCTGGGGTATAATTTAAAAGTAGTCATATTGCATACTTCTAGTTCTACTACTACTACTTCTACTATATATTGCATATCCTGGACAGTAATACTAATACAAACTAGTAGAGTACTTTTGGGAAACAAATTCAACGGTTACTCAAGGGGGTTACTCACCTCCTCTTACTAGTGTTACTAGGGGGTTACCTGCCTCCTCTTACTAGGGTTACTAGGGGGTTACTCACCTCCTCTTACTAGGGTTACTAGGGGGTCACTCACCTCCTCTTACTAGTGTTACTAGGGGGTTACTCACCTCCTCTTACTAGTGTTACTAGGGGGTTACTCACCTCCTCTTACTAGGGTTACTAGGGGGTTACTCACCTCCTCTTACTAGGGTTACTAGGGGGTTACTCACCTCCTCTTACTAGGGTTACTAGGGGGTTACCTGCCTCCTCTTACTAGGGTTACTAGGGGGTTACCTGCCTCCTCTTACTAGGGTTACTAGGGGGTTACTCACCTCCTCTTACTAGGGTTACTAGGGGGTCACTCACCTCCTCTTCCCTCTCCAGCGTCTCCTGTTTGACCGTCACCACCGTTTGGTTGGTTGTTGTGAGTGTTGGATCCCGTCCATTGGACGTGAACTAAATCAGCTGTAGAAATGGTGGCTCTACTCGGGATAAAGTCGTACTCAACCGCAGGGTAAGTCTGACACAAATAAGTTTGTTAAAATTGGAGCTGGATGTTATCTTTCGGAGGATTCTAAGAGGATTGTAACGAGATAACGAGATACTACAGCTGTAGTTCGGAGGATTCTAAGAGGATTGTAACGAGATAACGAGATACTACAGCTGTAGTTCGGAGGATTCTAAGAGGATTGTAACGAGATAACGAGATACTACAGCTGTAGTTCGGAGGATTCTAAGAGGATTGTAACGAGATAACGAGATACTACAGCTGTAGTTCGGAGGATTCTAAGAGGATTGTAACGAGATAACGAGATACTACAGCTGTAGTTCGGAGGATTCTAAGAGGATTGTAACGAGATAACGAGATACTACAGCTGTAGTTGTAACAATGGGAAATATACTGTACTTGTAGTTACAATATTTAAAAATACAATATGGTAGTTAGTGTATATAAATATTCAGCACTCAACAGCCAAGGTATTTGTATTATATGCGCACCTGAACAATATTTCCTCGTTTTCCTCTCACATTGAGATTATGTATTATTTTTCCTGCCATATCAGCCGAGTCTCTGGGTAACATCTGGCCGGGACAAAAACAATTTCATAAAATTAAGTTGTGGAAACGAATAAGCAGCGAATGAAAAATACAAAATTGTAAATAAAAGTAAAAAAGGGAACCCTAAATCAAGAGCAACATTGTTAATTTATTTTACAGAATACAGTCACAGATTGCTAAGAGAATCCTCACCCTGAACACATGAGATCTATCTTGGAATGTCCTTCCGTACTGGTTGGTATTAAGAGCAAGCCTGAGGGGTCTGGCTGATGCTCCCACGTCCACAAGAGGATTCTGTTCCACCGGGGATACCACTCCGTTCTGGCTGATGGGAAATCGAATTGCATTTTTGTAAATAAGCAAAGTTGGGCTCACAGGTAAAGGAAAAGAAAGAAAGGGAAGCTCACAGGTAAAGGGAAAGAAAGAAAGGGAAGCTCACAGGTAAAGGAAAAGAAAGAAAGGGAAGCTCACAGGTAAAGGAAAAGAAAGAAAAAGAAGCTCACAAGTAAAGGAAAAGAAAGAAAGGGAAGCTCACAGGTAAAGGAAAAGAACGAAAGGGAAGCTCACAGGTAAAGGAAAAGAAAGAAAGGGAAGCTCACAGGTAAAGGAAAAGAAAGAAAGGGAAGCTCACAGGTAAAGGAAAAGAAAGAAAAAGAAGCTCACAGGTAAAGGAAAAGAAAGAAAGGGAAGCTCACAGGTAAAGGAAAAGAAAGAAAAAGAAGCTCACAGGTAAAGGAAAAGAAAGAAAGGGAAGCTCACAGGTAAAGGAAAAAAAAGAAAGGGAAGCTCACAGGTAAAGGAAAAGAAAGAAAGGGAAGCTCACAAGTAAAGGAAAAGAAAGAAAAAGAAGCTCACAAGTAAAGGAAAAGAAAGAAAGGGAAGCTCACAGGTAAAGGAAAAGAACGAAAGGGAAGCTCACAGGTAAAGGAAAAGAAAGAAAGGGAAGCTCACAGGTAAAGGAAAAGAAAGAAAGGGAAGCTCACAGGTAAAGGAAAAGAAAGAAAAAGAAGCTCACAGGTAAAGGAAAAGAAAGAAAGGGAAGCTCACAGGTAAAGGAAAAAAAAGAAAGGGAAGCTCACAGGTAAAGGAAAAGAAAGAAAGGGAAGCTCACAGGTAAAGGAAAAGAAAGAAAGGGAAGCTCACAGGTAAAGGAAAAGAAAGAAAGGGAAGCTCACAAGTAAAGGAAAAGAAAGAAAAAGAAGCTCACAGGTAAAGGAAAAGAAAGAAAGGGAAGCTCACAGGTAAAGGAAAAGAAAGAAAGGGAAGCTCACAGGTAAAGGAAAAGAAAGAAAGGGAAGCTCACAAGTAAAGGAAAAGAAAGAAAAAGAAGCTCACAAGTAAAGGAAAAGAAAGAAAGGGAAGCTCACAGGTAAAGGAAAAGAACGAAAGGGAAGCTCACAGGTAAAGGAAAAGAAAGAAAGGGAAGCTCACAGGTAAAGGAAAAGAAAGAAAGGGAAGCTCACAGGTAAAGGAAAAGAAAGAAAAAGAAGCTCACAGGTAAAGGAAAAGAAAGAAAGGGAAGCTCACAGGTAAAGGAAAAAAAAGAAAGGGAAGCTCACAGGTAAAGGAAAAGAAAGAAAGGGAAGCTCACAGGTAAAGGAAAAGAAAGAAAGGGAAGCTCACAAGTAAAGGAAAAGAAAGAAAAAGAAGCTCACAAGTAAAGGAAAAGAAAGAAAGGGAAGCTCACAGGTAAAGGAAAAGAACGAAAGGGAAGCTCACAGGTAAAGGAAAAGAAAGAAAGGGAAGCTCACAGGTAAAGGAAAAGAAAGAAAGGGAAGCTCACAGGTCTTGGTTTTGACTAGAGCCGGTGTTGAAAGGATCGTAGTCATCAGTAGAGATGTTGTATCTGAGTCTCATGACACAGCGTTTGTTGTCGTTACTTGTGAAGTAAGGCAACACTGCGTCGTATCTGGAGGCGTTCCCTTGTGAGTCTGGCGAGTTTCCTTCGGATGAAATGTATTTAATTACTTTAAACCTACAGGTACCTACATACCTATTGCGTATTTCAAAGACATCCATGAGACTAGATTTTGTTAACACGACCGTTTCTACAATCTACTTTCTATATGATAAATATAATTTAACAGTTAACGATATTTTTGACAGATGACTATAAGTATAAACTAAGCTTTTAAACTAAATGAGTGAACTACATGACAGTCGGCACGCGCGGCTCACTGTTAATAATATAATAATAGCACACTGAGTAAATTTACCGTTATGATTTACGCGAGTCCAGGGTGCATCAGTGCAATCCACTTCGGGGGCTTGCACGACACACTTCTTAGTGTTCGGTTCATCGCTCCTTAAAGACATCCAGGAGACTTTGTTCCTCTTGTCTGCTGCAGCCTTAGTATTACACGCTGCCTCTGTCGTGATGTCAGTTAATATTTCTAAGTATGAGTGAAACGTTACCCAGGTTCCACTCTCTGCTTCACAGGCTGCCTCAGTGATTGATTTGCCGTAGGTTCGCGGCCGAGCAGTCGTTCCTTCATCCACCACGCAACGTGGGATACCGTTCTGGTTAAACGATCCCTGACAGGAGAGTAATAGTAATAGTAGGTAATAGTGCAAATATTAGATAACATTAACCTGGTTTTTAAACCAAAACTCTTATATAGTTATACAATATGGTCCCGGGGTTACAAATACAATATCTTGTTTAACTAAAATTTCCCCCTCTTGTAGTTGTAGCGCGATGCACTACTGGGCCCCGCCGTGCATCAAATAATGCTTCTCGCAACCACAACCTTCGGTAGATCGGCGAGATGCACCATGGCCATCGGGCCTCGCCGAGCTGCAAAGGATTGACATCTTGAATCAATACTCCCTCCGCCGTCTTACCTACAGATCATCGATGAAGTGATGGATCTGTCAGAGTCTAACAGCGATTTTACCTTCTTGACGACATAACGTCACTAACCTTCTTAATGACGTCATTTACCTTCTTAATGACGTCACTTACCTTCTTAATGACGTCACATCGAGATGTATTGGAGGTCAGAAATGCCATATCGATCCATGGAGTTGTTTGATGTTCGGTATCGTATGTCCTTGGAGTTGTTATAATCAATATGTTATGCATTAAAACCATCTGTTGATTTTCCTAATAAAAATATGTTATAATTAATATGAAGTTTATATGTGGTGACAGTGTTGCTTACTGAGTCATGAGAGTGGGGAACCAGTACGGGTAATAATCTCTCTCTTCAGGACACTCGAACCCTCGTCTCTGTCCATTAGGGTTCTGACGGGTCCTACTTGCATCTTCGTAGCCCAGGTTACCGTTGTTCAATCTCTGATCTGCCGTGAACAAGCCTGCAATAAAGTTATTGGAACAATGGAACCTACTACAAAACCTGAACAAACCTACTACTGCTAAACTGAACTAAACCTGCTCCCATTTTACATCAACCTATGTTTAACACATATCTTAGCACTGATTTTCAATTTATTTTGTGAAAGTTCGCTACTGTCACCAAGATGTAAATCAGATTAAAAAGAAATGAAGCTTGACTAGTGTAGTTCAAAATCTAAAAAGGTCCCCATCTTTTATACCTCCATTTGCTTCGCGGTACTTGCACATATCATACCATATCATACTCTCCTGATACCCTGCAAGATGAGCATTTACTCAGTGTGTAAAGTTGAGGAGAAATCAAGGAATAAAGTGAAGGGTTGGTGTACAACTAATATATAATATAATATAATACTAAGATAATAATTTGAAACTTATTCTCCATCATAATACCCGAGGATCTTACCTCGAGACATCTGAATTTGGTTAACATTATTGTTGATCCTGGCCGCATAAGTGTTATCATTGTTGTTGTTCTGGTTAGTGCTGACCTCCCCCCGGTTAGGGTTCTGGTACCCCTGAGTACCCGTGTTGGTCCCGTCCCGCAGGATATCATCCTTGTTAGCTTGGTCATTATTCTCTATAGCACTGTTTGCTACGTCGTTCTGCGGGTGTTAGCTTGGTCATTATTCTCTATAGCACTGTTTGCTACGTCATTCTGCGGGTGTTAGCTTGGTCATTATTCTCTATAGCACTGTTTGCTACGTCGTTCTGCGGGTGTTAGCTTGGTCATTATTCTCTATAGCACTGTTTGCTACGTCGTTCTGCGGGTGTTAGCTTGGTCATTATTCTCTATAGCACTGTTTGCTACGTCATTCTGCGGGTGTTAGCTTGGTCATTATTCTCTATAGCACTGTTTGCTACGTCATTCTGCGGGTGTTAGCTTGGTCATTATTCTCTATAGCACTGTTTGCTACGTCATTCTGCGGGTGTTAGCTTGGTCATTATTCTCTATAGCACTGTTTGCTACGTCATTCTGCGGGTGTTAGCTTGGTCATTATTCTCTATAGCACTGTTTGCTACGTCGTTCTGTGGGTGTTAGCTTGGTCATTATTCTCTATAGCACTGTTTGCTACGTCGTTCTGCGGGTGTTAGCTTGGTCATTATTCTCTATAGCACTGTTTGCTACGTCGTTCTGTGGGTGTTAGCTTGGTCATTATTCTCTATAGCACTGTTTGCTACGTCATTCTGCGGGTGTTAGCTTTGTCATTATTCTCTATAGCACTGTTTGCTACGTCATTCTGCGGGTGTTAGCTTGGTCATTATTCTCTATAGCACTGTTTGCTACGTCGTTCTGCGGGTGTTAGCTTGGTCATTATTCTCTATAGCACTGTTTGCTACGTCATTCTGCGGGTGTTAGCTTGGTCATTATTCTCTATAGCACTGTTTGCTACGTCATTCTGCGGGTGTTAGCTTGGTCATTATTCTCTATAGCACTGTTTGCTACGTCATTCTGCGGGTGTTAGCTTGGTCATTATTCTCTATAGCACTGTTTGCTACGTCATTCTGCGGGTGTTAGCTTGGTCATTATTCTCTATAGCACTGTTTGCTACGTCATTCTGCGGGTGTTAGCTTGGTCATTATTCTCTATAGCACTGTTTGCTACGTCATTCTGCGGGTGTTAGCTTGGTCATTATTCTCTATAGCACTGTTTGCTACGTCATTCTGCGGGTGTTAGCTTGGTCATTATTCTCTATAGCACTGTTTGCTACGTCATTCTGCGGGTGTTAGCTTGGTCATTATTCTCTATAGCACTGTTTGCTACGTCATTCTGCGGGTGTTAGCTTGGTCATTATTCTCTATAGCACTGTTTGCTACGTCATTCTGCGGGTGTTAGCTTGGTCATTATTCTCTATAGCACTGTTTGCTACGTCATTCTGCGGGTGTTAGCTTGGTCATTATTCTCTATAGCACTGTTTGCTACGTCATTCTGCGGGTGTTAGCTTGGTCATTATTCTCTATAGCACTGTTTGCTACGTCATTCTGCGGATGTTAGCTTGGTCATTATTCTCTATAGCACTGTTTGCTACGTCATTCTGTGGGTGTTAGCTTGGTCATTATTCTCTATAGCACTGTTTGCTACGTCATTCTGTGGGTGTTAGCTTGGTCATTATTCTCTATAGCACTGTTTGCTACGTCATTCTGCGGGTGTTAGCTTGGTCATTATTCTCTATAGCACTGTTTGCTACGTCGTTCTGCGGGTGTTAGCTTGGTCATTATTCTCTATAGCACTGTTTGCTACGTCATTCTTCGGGTGTTAGCTTGGTCATTATTCTCTATAGCACTGTTTGCTACGTCGTTCTGTGGGTGTTAGCTTTGTCATTATTCTCTATAGCACTGTTTGCTACGTCGTTCTGCGGGTGTTAGCTTGGTCATTATTCTCTATAGCACTGTTTGCTACGTCATTCTGCGGGTGTTAGCTTGGTCATTATTCTCTATAGCACTGTTTGCTACGTCGTTCTGCGGGTGTTAGCTTGGTCATTATTCTCTATAGCACTGTTTGCTACGTCATTCTGCGGGTGTTAGCTTTGTCATTATTCTCTATAGCACTGTTTGCTACGTCATTCTGCGGGTGTTAGCTTTGTCATTATTCTCTATAGCACTGTTTGCTACGTCATTCTGCGGGTGTTAGCTTTGTCATTATTCTCTATAGCACTGTTTGCTACGTCGTTCTGCGGGTGTTAGCTTGGTCATTATTCTCTATAGCACTGTTTGCTACGTCATTCTGCGGGTGTTAGCTTGGTCATTATTCTCTATAGCACTGTTTGCTACGTCATTCTGCGGGTGTTAGCTTGGTCATTATTCTCTATAGCACTGTTTGCTACGTCGTTCTTCGGGTGTTAGCTTGGTCATTATTCTCTATAGCACTGTTTGCTACGTCGTTCTGCGGGTGTTAGCTTTGTCATTATTCTCTATAGCACTGTTTGCTACGTCGTTCTGTGGGTGTTAGCTTGGTCATTATTCTCTATAGCACTGTTTGCTACGTCGTTCTGCGGGTGTTAGCTTTGTCATTATTCTCTATAGCACTGTTTGCTACGTCGTTCTGCGGGTGTTAGCTTTGTCATTATTCTCTATAGCACTGTTTGCTACGTCATTCTGCGGGTGTTAGCTTGGTCATTATTCTCTATAGCACTGTTTGCTACGTCATTCTGCGGGTGTTAGCTTGGTCATTATTCTCTATAGCACTGTTTGCTACGTCGTTCTGCGGGTGTTAGCTTGGTCATTATTCTCTATAGCACTGTTTGCTACGCCATTTTGCGGGTGTTAGCTTGGTCATTATTCTCTATAGCACTGTTTGCTACGTCGTTCTGCGGGTGTTAGCTTTGTCATTATTCTCTATAGCACTGTTTGCTACGTCATTCTGCGGGTGTTAGCTTGGTCATTATTCTCTATAGCACTGTTTGCTACGTCATTCTGCGGGTGTTAGCTTGGTCATTATTCTCTATAGCACTGTTTGCTACGTCGTTCTGCGGGTGTTAGCTTTGTCATTATTCTCTATAGCACTGTTTGCTACGTCATTCTGCGGGTGTTAGCTTTGTCATTATTCTCTATAGCACTATTTGCTACGTCATTCTGCGGGTGTTAGCTTGGTCATTATTCTCTATAGCACTGTTTGCTACGTCGTTCTGTGGGTGTTAGCTTGGTCATTATTCTCTATAGCACTGTTTGCTACGTCGTTCTGCGGGTGTTAGCTTGGTCATTATTCTCTTTAGCACTGTTTGCTACGTCGTTCTGCGGGTGTTCCCAGTTTATGTGTGTCAAGTTGCTCAAATATGGTTAACGAAACTGTATTAGAAATTAGAACTGGCTAATCCTTTAATAACCTTTACCTAAAAAGAACTAGGCGATTGTCAAACTATAAATTAATTTGAGGAGCTAAAACCTCCCCTAGCTCCTACCTGGCACATGTACTGAATAACAACATCGCAGTTCAGCTTGTGGGGACTGGAGTCTTCACTTCCGCCACACCCGTGCTGATTAGTCCACTCCAGTATCAGTCTGGACTCTGCTGCTGTCTCCGGGCCACTCTGGTAGTACTGGATACTGAGACAGGATGATAGATAGTAAATATACCCGGGTAAGTTGTCCTGGTCTCTACCTGAATATACAAAACACGCCGCTCCACACTGTATAAAAGCAAAGTTTAAACCCTAATTTACCTGTACTGTTTTTTAGTGTCCCCATTAGCGGCCCCGTCCTCCGCGTCCCCGGTATTATAACCACCCCGGTTATTGTTCTGCGGGAGGTGGTGTTTACTAAAATACATTTACAGTACCTGAGAGACACAGTACCTGAGAGACACAGTACCTGAGAGACACAGTACCTGAGAGACACAGTACCTGAGAGACACAGTATCTGAGAGACATAGTACCTGAGAGACACAGTACCTGAGAGACACAGTACCTGAGAGACACAGTACCTGAGAGACACAGTACCTGAGAGACACAGTACCGGAGAAACACAGTACCGGAGAGACACAGTACCTGAGAGACGCAGTACCTGGGAGACACAGTACCTGGGAGACACAGTACCTGAGAGACATAGTACCTGAGAGACACAGTACCTGAGAGACACAGTACCTGAGATACACAGTACCTGAGAGACACAGTACCTGAGAGACACAGTACCTGAAAGAACCAGTACCTGAGAGACACAGTACCTGAGAGACACAGTACCTGAGAGACACAGTACCTGAGAGACACAGTACCTGAGAGACACAGTACCTGAGAGACACAGTACATGAGAGATACAGTACCTGAGAGATACAGTACCTGAGAGACACAGTACCTGAGGGACACAGTACATGAGAGACACAGTACCTGAGAGACACAGTACATGAGAGACACAGTACCTGAGAGACACAGTACCTGAGAGACACAGTACCTGAGAGACACAGTACCTGAGAGACACAGTACCTGAGAGACACAGTACCTGAGAGACACAGTACCTGAGAGACACAGTACCTGAGAGACACAGTACCTGAGAGACACAGTACATGAGAGATACAGTACCTGAGAGACACAGTACCTGAGAGACACAGTACCTGAGAGACACAGTACCTGAGAGACACAGTACCTGAGAGACACAGTACCTGAGAGACACAGTACCTGAGAGACACAGTACCTGAGAGACACAGTACCTGAGAGACACAGTACCTGAGAGACACAGTACCTGAGAGACACAGTACCTGAGAGACACAGTACCTGAGAGACACAGTACCTGAGAGACACAGTACATGAGAGATACAGTACATGAGAGACACAGTACCTGAGGGACACAGTACCTGAGAGACACAGTACCTGAGAGACACAGTACATGAGAGACACAGTACCTGAGGGACACAGTACCTGAGAGACACAGTACCTGAGAGACACAGTACATGAGAGACACAGTACCTGAGAGACACAGTACCTGAGAGACACAGTACCTGAGAGACACAGTACCTGAGAGACACAGTACCTGAGAGACACAGTACCTGAGAGACACAGTACATGAGAGATACAGTACCTGAGAGATACAGTACCTGAGAGACACAGTACCTGAGGGACACAGTACCTGAGAGACACAGTACCTGAGAGACACAGTACCTGGGAGACACAGTACCTGAGAGACACAGTACCTGAGAGTCGAAGAGTCTGTTGGCGTTTCTCCTCACAGCAGTCCGTTCACAGTACCTGAGAGACACAGTACCTGAGAGACACAGTACATGAGAGACACAGTACCTGAGGGACACAGTACCTGAGAGACACAGTACCTGAGAGACACAGTACATGAGAGACACAGTACCTGAGAGACACAGTACCTGAGAGACACAGTACCTGAGAGACACAGTACCTGAGAGACACAGTACCTGAGAGACACAGTACCTGAGAGACACAGTACCTGAGAGACACAGTACATGAGAGATACAGTACCTGAGAGATACAGTACCTGAGAGACACAGTACCTGAGGGACACAGTACCTGAGAGACACAGTACCTGAGAGACACAGTACCTGGGAGACACAGTACCTGAGAGACACAGTACCTGAGAGTCGAAGAGTCTGTTGGCGTTTCTCCTCACAGCAGTCCGTTCGTTTAGTCTGTTGTTACTGCCTGCACACATATTATATTCATTATCAAACTTGTTCACTGCTATTGAGACTGACAGTTATGATTTGAGAAAGAGGGTTGACAAATGAAGAGGGTTGACAAATGAAGAGGGTTAACAAATGAAGAGGGTTGACAAATGAAGAGGGTTAACAAATGAAGAGGGTTGACAAATGAAGAGGGTTGACAAATGAAGAGGGTTGACAAATGAAGAGGGTTAACAAATGAAGAGGGTTGACAAATGAAGAGGGTTGACAAATGAAGAGGGTTAACAAATGAAGAGGATTAACAAATGAAGAGGGTTGACAAATGAAGAGGGTTGACAAATGAAGAGGGTTGACAAATGAAGAGGGTTAACAAATGAAGAGGGTTGACAAATGAAGAGGGTTGACAAATGAAGAGGGTTAACAAATGAAGAGGGTTGACAAATGAAGAGGGTTAACAAATGAAGAGGGTTAACAAATGAAGAGGGTTGACAAATGAAGAGGGTTGACAAATGAAGAGGATTAACAAATGAAGAGGGTTAACAAATGAAGAGGATTAACAAATGAAGAGGGTTGACAAATGAAGAGGGTTGACAAATGAAGAGGGTTAACAAATGAAGAGGGTTAACAAATGAAGAGGGTTGACAAATGAAGAGGGTTGACAAATGAAGAGGGTTAACAAATGAAGAGGGTTAACAAATGAAGAGGGTTAACAAATGAAGAGGGTTGACAAATGAAGAGGATTAACAAATGAAGAGGGTTGACAAATGAAGAGGGTTGACAAATGAAGAGGGTTAACAAATGAAGAGGGTTGACAAATGAAGAGGGTTAACAAATGAAGAGGGTTGACAAATGAAGAGGGTTAACAAATGAAGAGGGTTAACAAATGAAGAGGGTTGACAAATGAAGAGGGTTGACAAATGAAGAGGGTTGACAAATGAAGAGGGTTAACAAATGAAGAGGGTTGACAAATGAAGAGGGTTAACAAATGAAGAGGGTTGACAAATGAAGAGGATTAACAAATGAAGAGGGTTGACAAATGAAGAGGGTTAACAAATGAAGAGGGTTAACAAATGAAGAGGGTTAACAAATGAAGAGGGTTAACAAATGAAGAGGGTTGACAAATGAAGAGGGTTAACAAATGAAGAGGGTTGACAAATGAAGAGGATTAACAAATGAAGAGGGTTGACAAATGAAGAGGATTAACAAATGAAGAGGGTTGACAAATGAAGAGGGTTAACAAATGAAGAGGGTTAACAAATGAAGAGGGTTAACAAATGAAGAGGGTTAACAAATGAAGAGGGTTAACAAATGAAGAGGGTTGACAAATGAAGAGGGTTAACAAATGAAGAGGGTTAACAAATGAAGAGGGTTGACAAATGAAGAGGGTTGACAAATGAAGAGGGTTAACAAATGAAGAGGGTTAACAAATGAAGAGGGTTGACAAATGAAGAGGGTTAACAAATGAAGAGGGTTGACAAATGAAGAGGGTTAACAAATGAAGAGGGTTAACAAATGAAGAGGGTTGACAAATGAAGAGGGTTGACAAATGAAGAGGATTAACAAATGAAGAGGGTTAACAAATGAAGAGGATTAACAAATGAAGAGGGTTGACAAATGAAGAGGGTTGACAAATGAAGAGGGTTAACAAATGAAGAGGGTTAACAAATGAAGAGGGTTGACAAATGAAGAGGGTTGACAAATGAAGAGGGTTAACAAATGAAGAGGGTTGACAAATGAAGAGGGTTAACAAATGAAGAGGGTTGACAAATGAAGAGGGTTGACAAATGAAGAGGGTTGACAAATGAAAAGGGTTGACAAATGAAGAGGGTTGACAAATGAAGAGGGTTAACAAATGAAAAGGGTTGACAAATGAAGAGGGTTGACAAATGAAGAGGGTTAACAAATGAAGAGGGTTGACAAATGAAGAGGGTTGACAAATGAAGAGGGTTAACAAATGAAGAGGGTTGACAAATGAAGAGGGTTAACAAATGAAGAGGGTTAACAAATGAAGAGGGTTGACAAATGAAGAGGATTAACAAATGAAGAGGGTTAACAAATGAAGAGGGTTGACAAATGAAGAGGGTTGACAAATGAAGAGGGTTAACAAATGAAGAGGGTTGACAAATGAAGAGGGTTGACAAATGAAGAGGGTTGACAAATGAAGAGGGTTAACAAATGAAGAGGGTTGACAAATGAAGAGGGTTAACAAATGAAGAGGGTTGACAAATGAAGAGGGTTAACAAATGAAGAAGGTTGACAAATGAAGAAGGTTGACAAATGAAGAGGGTTAACAAATGAAGAGGGTTGACAAATGAAGAGGGTTGACAAATGAAGAAGGTTGACAAATGAAGAGGGTTGACAAATGAAGAGGGTTAACAAATGAAGAGGGTTAACAAATGAAGAAGGTTGACAAATGAAGAGGGTTGACAAATGAAGAGGGTTGACAAATGAAGAGGGTTAACAAATGAAGAGGGTTGACAAATGAAGAGGGTTAACAAATGAAGAGGGTTGACAAATGAAGAGGGTTGACAAATGAAGAGGGTTGACAAATGAAGAGGGTTAACAAATGAAGAGGGTTGACAAATGAAGAGGGTTGACAAATGAAGAGGATTAACAAATGAAGAGGGTTGACAAATGAAGAGGGTTGACAAATGAAGAGGGTTAACAAATGAAGAGGGTTAACAAATGAAGAGGGTTAACAAATGAAGAGGGTTAACAAATGAAGAGGGTTGACAAATGAAGAGGGTTAACAAATGAAGAGGGTTGACAAATGAAGAGGGTTGACAAATGAAGAGGGTTAACAAATGAAGAGGGTTGACAAATGAAGAGGGTTGACAAATGAAGAGGGTTGACAAATGAAGAGGGTTGACAAATGAAGAGGGTTGACAAATGAAGAGGGTTAACAAATGAAGAGGGTTGACAAATGAAGAGGGTTGACAAATGAAGAGGATTAACAAATGAAGAGGGTTAACAAATGAAGAGGATTAACAAATGAAGAGGGTTGACAAATGAAGAGGGTTGACAAATGAAGAGGGTTAACAAATGAAGAGGGTTAACAAATGAAGAGGGTTGACAAATGAAGAGGGTTGACAAATGAAGAGGGTTGACAAATGAAGAGGGTTGACAAATGAAGAGGGTTAACAAATGAAGAGGGTTGACAAATGAAGAGGGTTGACAAATGAAGAGGGTTGACAAATGAAAAGGGTTGACAAATGAAGAGGGTTGACAAATGAAGAGGGTTAACAAATGAAATGGGTTGACAAATGAAGAGGGTTGACAAATGAAGAGGGTTAACAAATGAAGAGGGTTGACAAATGAAGAGGGTTAACAAATGAAGAGGGTTAACAAATGAAGAGGGTTGACAAATGAAGAGGGTTAACAAATGAAGAGGGTTAACAAATGAAGAAGGTTGACAAATGAAGAGGGTTGACAAATGAAGAAGGTTGACAAATGAAGAGGGTTAACAAATGAAGAGGGTTGACAAATGAAGAGGATTAACAAATGAAGAGGGTTGACAAATGAAGAGGGTTGACAAATGAAGAGGGTTGACAAATGAAGAGGGTTAATAAATGAAGAGGGTTGACAAATGAAGAGGGTTGACAAATGAAGAGGGTTGACAAATGAAGAGGGTTAACAAATGAAGAGGGTTGACAAATGAAGAGGGTTAACAAATGAAGAGGGTTAACAAATGAAGAGGGTTAACAAATGAAGAGGGTTGACAAATGAAGAGGGTTGACAAATGAAGAAGGTTGACAAATGAAGAGGGTTGACAAATGAAGAAGGTTGACAAATGAAGAGGGTTAACAAATGAAGAGGGTTGACAAATGAAGAGGGTTAACAAATGAAGAGGGTTGACAAATGAAGAGGGTTGACAAATGAAGAAGGTTGACAAATGAAGAGGGTTGACAAATGAAGAGGGTTAACAAATGAAGAGGGTTAACAAATGAAGAAGGTTGACAAATGAAGAGGGTTGACAAATGAAGAGGGTTGACAAATGAAGAGGGTTAACAAATGAAGAGGGTTGACAAATGAAGAGGGTTAACAAATGAAGAGGGTTGACAAATGAAGAGGGTTGACAAATGAAGAGGGTTGACAAATGAAGAGGGTTAACAAATGAAGAGGGTTGACAAATGAAGAGGGTTGACAAATGAAGAGGATTAACAAATGAAGAGGGTTGACAAATGAAGAGGGATGACAAATGAAGAGGGTTAACAAATGAAGAGGGTTAACAAATGAAGAGGGTTAACAAATGAAGAGGGTTAACAAATGAAGAGGGTTGACAAATGAAGAGGGTTAACAAATGAAGAGGGTTGACAAATGAAGAGGGTTGACAAATGAAGAGGGTTAACAAATGAAGAGGGTTGACAAATGAAGAGGGTTGACAAATGTAGAGGGTTGACAAATGAAGAGGGTTGACAAATGAAGAGGATTAACAAATGAAGAGGGTTGACAAATGAAGAGGGTTGACAAATGAAGAGGGTTGACAAATGAAGAGGGTTAACAAATGAAGAGGGTTAACAAATGAAGAAGGTTGACAAATGAAGATGGTTGACAAATGAAGAGGGTTAACAAATGAAGAGGATTAACAAATGAAGAGGGTTGACAAATGAAGAGGGTTGACAAATGAAGAGGGTTGACAAATGAAGAGGGTTGACAAATGAAAAGGGTTGACAAATGAAGAGGGTTGACAAATGAAGAGGATTAACAAATGAAGAGGGTTGACAAATGAAGAGGGTTGACAAATGAAGAGGGTTGACAAATGAAGAGGGTTGACAAATGAAAAGGGTTGACAAATGAAGAGGGTTGACAAATGAAGAGGATTAACAAATGAAGAGGGTTGACAAATGAAGAGGGTTAACAAATGAAGAAGGTTGACAAATGAAGAGGGTTGACAAATGAAGAGGGTTAACAAATGAAGAGGGTTGACAAATGAAGAGGGTTGACAAATGAAGAGGATTAACAAATGAAGAGGGTTGACAAATGAAGAGGGTTGACAAATGAAGAGGGTTAACAAATGAAGAGGGTTGACAAATGAAGAGGGTTGACAAATGAAGAGGATTAACAAATGAAGAGGGTTGACAAATGAAGAGGGTTGACAAATGAAGAGGATTAACAAATGAAGAGGGTTGACAAATGAAGAGGGTTGACAAATGAAGAGGATTAACAAATGAAGAGGGTTAACAAATGAAGAGGGTTGACAAATGAAGAGGGTTGACAAATGAAGAGGGTTAACAAATGAAGAGGGTTAACAAATGAAGAGGGTTGACAAATGAAGAGGGTTGACAAATGAAAAGGGTTGACAAATGAAGAGGGTTGACAAATGAAGAGGGTTGACAAATGAAAAGGGTTGACAAATGAAGAGGGTTGACAAATGAAAAGGGTTGACAAATGAAGAGGGTTGACAAATGAAGAGGATTAACAAATGAAGAGGGTTGACAAATGAAGAGGGTTAACAAATGAAGAAGGTTGACAAATGAAGAGGGTTGACAAATGAAGAGGGTTAACAAATGAAGAGGGTTGACAAATGAAGAGGGTTGACAAATGAAGAGGATTAACAAATGAAGAGGGTTGACAAATGAAGAGGGTTAACAAATGAAGAAGGTTGACAAATGAAGAGGGTTGACAAATGAAGAGGGTTAACAAATGAAGAGGGTTGACAAATGAAGAGGGTTGACAAATGAAGAGGATTAACAAATGAAGAGGGTTGACAAATGAAGAGGGTTGACAAATGAAGAGGGTTGACAAATGAAGAGGGTTGACAAATGAAGAGGGTTGACAAATGAAGAGGGTTGACAAATGAAGAGGGTTAACAAATGAAGAGGGTTGACAAATGAAGAGGGTTGACAAATGAAGAGGATTAACAAATGAAGAGGGTTGACAAATGAAGAGGGTTGACAAATGAAGAGGATTAACAAATGAAGAGGGTTGACAAATGAAGAGGGTTGACAAATGAAGAGGGTTAACAAATGAAGAGGGTTAACAAATGAAGAGGGTTGACAAATGAAGAAGGTTGACAAATGAAGAGGGTTGACAAATGAAGAGGGTTGACAAATGAAGAGGGTTAACAAATGAAGAGGGTTGATAAATGAAGAGGGTTGACAAATGAAGAGGGTTGACAAATGAAGAGGGTTGACAAATGAAGAGGGTTAACAAATGAAGAGGGTTGACAAATGAAGAGGGTTGACAAATGAAGAGGGTTGACAAATGAAGAGGGTTGACAAATGAAGAGGGTTGACAAATGAAGAGGGTTGACAAATGAAGAGGGTTGACAAATGAAGAGGGTTGACAAATGAAGAGGGTTGACAAATGAAGAGGGTTAACAAATGAAGAGGGTTGACAAATGAAGAGGGTTGACAAATGAAGAGGGTTAACAAATGAAGAGGGTTGACAAATGAAGAGGGTTAACAAATGAAGAGGGTTGACAAATGAAGAGGGTTAACAAATGAAGAGGGTTGACAAATGAAGAGGGTTGACAAATGAAGAGGGTTGACAAATGAAGAGGGTTAACAAATGAAGAGGGTTGACAAATGAAGAGGGTTGACAAATGAAGAGGGTTAACAAATGAAGAGGGTTGACAAATGAAGAGGGTTAACAAATGAAGAGGGTTGACAAATGAAGAGGGTTGACAAATGAAGAGGGTTAACAAATGAAGAGGGTTAACAAATGAAGAGGGTTGACAAATGAAGAAGGTTGACAAATGAAGAGGGTTAACAAATGAAGAGGGTTGACAAATGAAGAGGGTTGACAAATGAAGAGGGTTAACAAATGAAGAGGGTTGACAAATGAAGAGGGTTAACAAATGAAGAGGGTTGACAAATGAAGAGGGTTAACAAATGAAGAGGGTTGACAAATGAAGAGGGTTGACAAATGAAGAGGGTTGACAAATGAAGAGGGTTAACAAATGAAGAGGGTTGACAAATGAAGAGGGTTAACAAATGAAGAGGGTTGACAAATGAAGAGGGTTAACAAATGAAGAGGGTTGACAAATGAAGAGGGTTAACAAATGAAGAGGGTTGACAAATGAAGAGGGTTGACAAATGAAGAGGGTTAACAAATGAAGAGGGTTAACAAATGAAGAGGGTTGACAAATGAAGAGGGTTAACAAATGAAGAGGGTTAACAAATGAAGAGGGTTGACAAATGAAGAGGGTTGACAAATGAAGAGGGTTGACAAATGAAGAGGGTTGACAAATGAAGAGGGTTGACAAATGAAGAGGGTTAACAAATGAAGAGGGTTGACAAATGAAGAGGGTTGACAAATGAAGAGGGTTGACAAATGAAGAGGGTTAACAAATGAAGAGGGTTAACAAATGAAGAGGGTTGACAAATGAAGAGGGTTGACAAATGAAGAGGGTTGACAAATGAAGAGGGTTAACAAATGAAGAGGGTTGACAAATAAAGAGGGTTAACAAATGAAGAGGGTTGACAAATGAAGAGGGTTGACAAATGAAGAGGGTTTACAAATGAAGAGGGTTGACAAATGAAGAGGGTTGACAAATGAAGAGGGTTGACAAATGAAGAGGGTTGACAAATGAAGAGGGTTGACAAATGAAGAGGGTTGACAAATGAAGAGGATTAACAAATGAAGAGGTTTAACAAATGAAGAGGGTTAACAAATGAAGAGGGTTGACAAATGAAGAGGGTTAACAAATGAAGAGGGTTAACAAATGAAGAGGGTTGACAAATGAAGAGGGTTAACAAATGAAGAAGGTTGACAAATGAAGAGGGTTGACAAATGAAGAGGGTTAACAAATGAAGAGGGTTAACAAATGAAGAAGGTTGACAAATGAAGAGGGTTGACAAATGAAGAGGGTTAACAAATGAAGAGGGTTAACAAATGAAGAGGGTTAACAAATGAAGAGGGTTAACAAATGAAGAAGGTTGACAAATGAAGAGGGTTGACAAATGAAGAGGGTTGACAAATGAAGAGGATTAACAAATGAAGAGGGTTGACAAATGAAGAGGATTAACAAATGAAGAGGTTTAACAAATGAAGAGGGTTAACAAATGAAGAGGGTTGACAAATGAAGAGGGTTAACAAATGAAGAGGGTTAACAAATGAAGAGGGTTGACAAATGAAGAGGGTTAACAAATGAAGAAGGTTGACAAATGAAGAGGGTTGACAAATGAAGAGGGTTAACAAATGAAGAGGGTTAACAAATGAAGAAGGTTGACAAATGAAGAGGGTTGACAAATGAAGAGGGTTGACAAATGAAGAGGATTAACAAATGAAGAGGGTTGACAAATGAAGAGGATTAACAAATGAAGAGGTTTAACAAATGAAGAGGGTTAACAAATGAAGAGGGTTGACAAATGAAGAGGGTTAACAAATGAAGAGGGTTAACAAATGAAGAGGGTTGACAAATGAAGAGGGTTAACAAATGAAGAAGGTTGACAAATGAAGAGGGTTGACAAATGAAGAGGGTTAACAAATGAAGAGGATTAACAAATGAAGAGGGTTGACAAATGAAGAGGGTTGACAAATGAAGAAGGTTGACAAATGAAGAGGGTTGACAAATGAAGAGGGTTAACAAATGAAGAGGGTTAACAAATGAAGAGGGTTAACAAATGAAGAGGGTTGACAAATGAAGAGGGTTGACAAATGAAGAGGGTTGACAAATGAAGAGGGTTGACAAATGAAAAGGGTTGACAAATGAAGAGGGTTGACAAATGAAGAGGATTAACAAATGAATAGGGTTGACAAATGAAGAGGGTTGACAAATGAAGAGGGTTAACAAATGAAGAGGGTTAACAAATGAAGAGGGTTGACAAATGAAGAGGGTTGACAAATGAAGAGGGTTGACAAATGAAGAGGGTTAACAAATGAAGAGGGTTAACAAATGAAGAGGGTTGACAAATGAAGAGGGTTGACAAATGATGAGGGTTGACAAATGAAGAGGGTTGACAAATGAAGAGGATTAACAAATGAAGAGGGTTGACAAATGAAGAGGGTTAACAAATGAAGAGGGTTAACAAATGAAGAGGGTTAACAAATGAAGAGGGTTGACAAATGAAGAGGGTTGACAAATGAAGAGGGTTAACAAATGAAGAAGGTTGACAAATGAAGAGGGTTAACAAATGAAGAGGGTTAACAAATGAAGAGGGTTGACAAATGAAGAGGGTTGACAAATGAAGAGGGTTGACAAATGAAGAGGGTTAACAAATGAAGAGGGTTGACAAATGAAGAGGGTTGACAAATGAAGAGGGTTGACAAATGAAGAGGGTTGACAAATGAAGAGGGTTGACAAATGAAGAGGGTTGACAAATGAAGAGGGTTGACAAATGAAGAGGGTTGACAAATGAAGAGGGTTAACAAATGAAGAGGGTTGACAAATGAAGAGGGTTGACAAATGAAGAGGGTTGACAAATGAAGAGGGTTGACAAATGAAGAGGGTTGACAAATGAAGAGGGTTGACAAATGAAGAGGGTCGACAAATGAAGAGGGTTGACAAATGAAGAGGGTTGACAAATGAAGAGGGTTAACAAATGAAGAAGGTTGACAAATGAAGAGGGTTAACAAATGAAGAGGGTTAACAAATGAAGAGGGTTGACAAATGAAGAGGGTTAACAAATGAAGAGGTTTAACAAATGAAGAGGGTTAACAAATGAAGAGGGTTGACAAATGAAGAGGGTTGAACAATGAAGAGGGTTGAACAATGAAGAGGGTTGAACAATGAAGAGGGTTGAACAATGAAGAGGGTTGACAAATGAACCCACCTCTAGGGTTGTGTAAGTAGGTGTCACATGTGACCAGACCAAGTAGACCAAGTAGACCAAGTAGCAGGGACAGCAGCACCGGTGCTCTCATCCTATTACAGCAGGACGAGGTGACTACTAAATTACTGGTTTTAAATAGTTCAATGGTCTAAAAGTATAAATAAACTTAATAATACAGGGTGACTCAGAATTCACTACTGACATGCAACCCTGAAATAACTTTTGTTATTCGTATCAGAATTGTACAGCTAGGAACTCAAAATTTTAAGAAAGATTATTTTTTTCAAATCTGGTTGGAACGTTATTGGTTATCTCGTCACCCGATCAGAATTAAGGATTTTAAGGACGCTCCAGAAAGTGTTTGTTGCAAACAAAACCAGTGTCCGGGGGATAACAGTTTTATTGTTGACAGTATTTAGGTTAATGCTAAATTGCAGGTTAGAGTAAAATCACTGTTCACTATTGTCGTCTTGTGTCGGTCTAACTTTAGCTGCATATCCTTCCCTGACCTGAACAATATGCTATTCAGTTTACTGCTGCTACTTACTACCACTTCCACTTACTACTTCACCACCTGGTCTCCAGGTTAACTTATCAATATCGTTTTATTATTATTTGAATAAACAGTGTTATAAGCACCATGTGTTGGCACCGAATTTGATAAATTTGGTAGCAAAAGTTGCTTTAAAGTGTGAATAATGAAAATGCACCGGGGAGCACGATTAGGTAAATACAAGCTGCCCTTGTCGGACCCATACTATGAGGACTCTAGAGCGGTATCCACAACCGCTCTAAAATCTGCATGTGGGTACCGCTCTAGAGTCCTCATAGTATGGGTCCGGTAAGGGAGTCTTACCCTGGCGATTTGACTCCGCTCTAGGGTCCTACTTCCGACCAAGTCCGCTCTACAGTCCCCCGCTCTAGAGTCCTAGAGCCTTTTGCGCGTTGCAGGTGTGTGAAATGAACTTGAATGGCCAATTTCAGGAAAAAACGCATATCACTTTTTAAAGATCGATTTTTAAAAACACTATATTTTACAGAATTGCAATCAGTCAGATAATACTTTTGATACCAAATTTACAATATTTGAAGAAACAAATTTTTTGTACAAAAATTCACACCTTGTTAGTTTAATCATTTTGAAAATATGACTTCTTTAAATCTGAAAATTTTAGTACCAAAAGATTAGTCTCGGCAAGCTGATTACGACCCTCTAAAAGTATTTAAAAATAACAGACACTGTATGCAGGCCAAAAACTGAAAAAGTGTGTGCCTATTACCTCATCAAGTGCGACCTAATTGAGCGTCGTGCAGCAGTTTTTACTTAGGGCGCATCCGCCATCCCGGTGGATTTATGTTATTTACATTTCATATTTGAACAACTTTTGGTACAAAATTGATCAAAATCGGAGGGAAATGCTTTTTATTACACTGACTGAGTAGCTACCGCGAACCAATTGAACCGAACCAAATGTTGATTACAGTTACATGAACTCGAATAAATTCATCACAATTCTGGTCATACTTATTCTTAAATTATCGTATTTTATCTGGGAGTATTTTATATTGCGTAAATAACCGTTAATCACCTTATCGATAAATTTTCATCAGTTTCAAACATGCAAATTGGGGTTTGCAACAAAAATGATAATTTGTCAAGCTGTTATAGGGTAAAGATTGAATATAAGTCTCAATTCTGTTTCACACAGTGACACACTGTTTTACACTGTTTACACCCCTTCCCCCAGAAATACAGCTTTTTTTAAACAGTAAACCAAATAAAACACTTAGTTGTGAAGCGATCATATTATACAGCTAATAACTGGGGGTATTAGCAATAGTATTACTAATATTGTATTACTAACAATAACACATTCATTATCTTGCTATGATTCAGCATTACAATTCCAGCGAAACACGGGCAAATAAACGATAAACATTTACAGACACAGTCCATCATACATTAATAATAAATTGTTGCGAACATCTCAAAAACACACGGCACATGTTACTTCTGCTTGGGAGTGACCCAGAGGACCCCCTTTTGGGAGCGGTTGGTGAAGTTGTTGTTCCTCGTGCACACGTACACACACGTGCCCGGCTTCTTGAACCTGTGAGAGTTTTTTAGATTAGCTGACAGGACTATAAACTGTAATCAAACTCCAACATTCCCTACCACTATTACTAAACCGTAACTCCTAAACGTAGATCCATCCCATCCCTACTACTAAACCTTAACACTCCCCTGAAGACTCACCTTAGCACGTGGCCGAAGTAGCTAGCAGGAGCGTTGTTGAGTTGCTGCTGGAAGGCGCCTTTCTTAGAGTCGTCCACGTGGTAACCAGTAGGACATCCTCCAAACTTGCTCATGCCTGGAGGAATCAAATATTTGCATAATGACGTGATCTGGAATTATTTCAACTAACCGTACGAATATCTAGTGAGCAGCTAAACAAAGCTGAGGGACTAGTAGGGCTACTCCTAGTAGGGCTAGTGGCTACCCCCTACTTACCGCAGTAGTATCCTGATGTAGCAAACCCAATAGCTAGATCCAGACCAGTAGCTTTAGGGTGGTTAACAGACTCTACCATGTCCCACATAGTGGTGTTCTCAAATGGAGCAGGGAAGTTCAGGTCACTCCTCAGCATTTGTAGGAAGTTGTGACGATCCGTACCTGTGTAGTGTGTATATACATTATACATGGTAACTAGGTGTGTATATACATTATACATGGTAACTAAGTGTGTATATACATTATACATGGTAACTAGGTGTGTATATACATTATACATGGTAACTAAGTGTGTATATACATTATACATGGTAACTAGGTGTGTATATACATTATACATGGTAACTAGGTGTGTATATACATTATACATGGTAACTAGGTGTGTATATACATTATACATGGTAACTAGGTGTGTATATACATTATACATGGTAACTAGGTGTGTATATACATTATACATGGTAACTAGGTGTGTATATACATTATACATGGTAACTAGGTGTGTATATACATTATACATGGTAACTAGGTGTGTATATACATTATACATGGTAACTAGGTGGGTATATACATTATACATGGTAACTAGGTGGGTATATACATTATACATGGTAACTAGGTGGGTATATACATTATACATGGTAACTAGGTGGGTATATACATTATACATAGTAACTAGGGTGTATATACATTATACATAGTAACTAGGTGTGTATATACATTATACATAGTAACTAGGTGTGTATATACATTATACATAGTAACTAGGTGTGTATATACATTATACATTATACATTATACATAGTAACTAGGTGTGTATATACATTATACATGGTAATTAGGTGTGTATATACATTATACATGGTAATTAGTTGTGTATATACATTATACATAGTAACTAGGTGTGTATATACATTATACATGGTAATTAGTTGTGTATATACATTATACATAGTAACTAGGTGTGTATATACATTATACATAGTAACTAGGTGTGTATATAAATTATACATAGTAACTAGGTGTGCATATAAATTATACATAGTAACTAGGTGTGTATATACATTATACATTATACATTATACATTATACATAGTAACTAGGTGTGTATATACACTATACATAGTAACTAGGTGTGTATATACATTATACATAGTAACTAGGGTGTATATACATTATGCATAGTAAATAGGTGTGTATATACATTATACATAGTAACTAGGTGTGTATATACATTATACATAGTAACTAGGTGTGTATATACATTATACATAGTAACTAGGTGTGTTAGATGGTAACACTCTGTATTAACACTCACCTCCAGTCCCCTCTCCAGCATCCCCAGTCTGACCGTCTCCTCCGTTACCTCCGTTATTGTGCGTGTTAGATCCTGCAAACAACTTGTTAGTAAACACTTTGTTATTAAACCCACAGGGTGGTTAATCAGAACAAGTAAGTGGAAGTGGGGACAAAAGGAAATTGCGGCATGTACGGAATCGCGATTTTTCTCATTATTTGCGACAAATTTTATGTATAGTTTAATGTATAGTCTGTTAAAAATCACGGTATCGCGAATTTTGGCCAAAACAATCGCGAAATCCTTTTGTCCCTGAGTGGAAGTGGTAGTATGTAGTATTTAGGTACTAAGGGGGGGGGGACCCCTACTAACCGGTCCACTGAATGTGAAGCAGCTCTTCCTCGGAGATAGCCAGTTTGTTGGGCACGAAATCATACTCCACGCCGGGGAACGTTTGCACGATGTTACCTCGCTTTCCTCTGACGTTGAGGTTGTGCAGCATCTTACCCTCCATACCATCCAGTCGAGGTAAAACCTGTTATAGGCAGTGGTTATATTACAAAATTAAATATATACAAAATAGTGTTACAGTTCATGTTTTGCAAATGGTATCATTCCGAAACGAAAACCGGTCTGTAGGACTGAAAAATACTTATTTACTTTCTATTTGTTATTTAATTTCTATTCAGTTTGAACCAGATTTACAAGTGGTTAAACACATATTTTATACATACTATGCACATAATAATAGCAAGGATCTAAAACTCACAACACCAACACAGTAAAAGTAAAAGTAAAAGTAAAAGTAACTCACAACATAAGCATGAGTCCTGTCCTGGAACGTCCTGCCGAACTGGTTAGTGTTCATTGCCAGCCTCAGAGGCTTAGATTCTCCAGCCACATCCACAAACGGGTTATCCTCCACCGGGGATATGACACCCTAACAGATTTGTAGATTTTAGTGCACAATTAGAAATAGCATTATGCGATAAACTGAACGATAGAGATAACTTTATCTGAGTGTTGATAGCGTCAACATGAGATGGGGGGTGGGGGGCGGGTACACTACCTTGGAAACAGTGGGGGTACACTACCTTGGAAACAGTGGGGGTACACTACCTTGGAAAGATCGTAGTTGTGTCTGTGGTCGGTTCCGTAGTTGTCAAACTCGTCCGTTGTTATGTTGTACCTGAATATTCATTGCAATTTATGGAATGGGAATTTTAGAATTCAGCTGGGAAAATCTATTTGGTTTCCTATATAATATGCATCTAAATGTAACATTTAATATATGGATATGATAAGCCCGAACAAATAGGTCCATAATGGGGTTACCTGAGTCTCATGACACATCGTTTAGCTGTCCCGCTGGGGAAATAAGGAAGCTCCGTATCCACTCTGGAGGCGTTACCCTTGGTGTCTATAGAGTTACCCAGATGGTTCACTCTAGACCAGGGAGCTTGTTCGCACTTGGGGAGCGGGGCCTGTACCACACACATCTTCTGGTCCTTGTCACTCTGTAATTAGTAATTAAATGTAAGGGTGTAATGTGGTTAGTGGTTAGAGTTAGTAACAACAGCTACAAACTAACTTCCAGCATTAACAAATCAATACTACACTCTTCTACTAACGTAATTAATTAATTAATTAATTAATTAATTAATTGATTAAGTAATTAAGAAATTAAGAAATTAAGAAATTAATTAATTAACTAACAAATCAATTATTAAAAAACTGACTCTGATAGACATCCAGGATATTTTGTTCCTTTTGTCGGTGTTCTTGTACTTGTTACACTTTGCCTCTGTGTTAGCACTGCTGATCACCTCAAGGTAGCTGTGGAACTGTACCCAGGTTCCTGAACAGGAGGAAATATTAAGAAGATCCTCCACGAGGAGGAGAAACATGAATAATGGAAATCTGCTATTTTACTATGAAGTATATATATATACTATACTATATTAAATAATAACCACAGTAACCCACCATCCTCTTGTTTACAGTCCTCCTCGTTTATAGAGCGGCCGTATTTCCGTGCACTACTCTCGTTAAGTACACATCTCCACTTTCCGTTCTGGTTCTCTGAACCCTAAACAGACGGTGTTACAGTGTTACAATGTTACAGTTCCCCATTGTTACATTATACTGTTGTAATGTGTAAAGATATGAGGATTCTCTATCTAGTAGTAGTAACTCATTATCTCAAGACACTAACCTCCTTCACCCTGTCACAATCAGTACTGTTCCCAGTCAGGTAGGCCACGTCAATCCAGGGGGTGGTCTGGTAGCTATCAATATACCTGTACAGTACGAGGACTTGAAGACAGAATATTAAAGAACTCACTACTGCAACCATTCACTGACTCACAGCTAGGATACATATACTGACATAACAGGTAGTAAAGTAATAACTAACGGGCCCTGATGGGTTGGTTGCCAGTAAGGATAGTGATCTCTCTCCTCAGGACACTCATAACCTCTCCTGGTTCCTCCATTGTTCTGCCTTGTCCTCTCACTGCCGACATAACCCAGACTTCCTTTTCCGAGGTCCTGGTCTGCGATGTAGAGTCCTTTGTTAGCTTCTCTAAACCTGGTGGAGAGTGTTACAGTGTTACAGTGTTACAGTGTTACAGTGTTACAGTGTTACAGTGTTACAGTGTTACAGTGTTACAGTGTTGCAGTGTTACCGTGTTACAGTATTACATTGTTACAGTGTTATACCGTGTTACAGTGTTATACCGTGTTACAGTGTGTTACAGTGTGTTACAGTGTGTTACAGTGTGTTACAGTGTGTTACAGTATTACATTGTTACAGTGTTATACCGTGTTACAGTGTTATACCGTGTTACAGTGTGTTACAGTGTGTTACAGTGTTATACCGTGTTACAGTGTGTTACAGTGTGTTACAGTGTGTTACAGTGTTACAGTGTTACAGTGTTACAGTGTTACAGTGTTACAGTGCTACAGTGTTACAGTGTTACAGTGTTACAGTGTTACAGTGTTACAGTGTTACAGTGTTACAGTGTTACAGTGTTACAGTGTTACATTGTTACAGTGTTACAGTGTTACAGTGTTACAGTGTTACCGTGTTACAGTATTACATTGTTACAGTGTTATACCGTGTTACAGTGTTATACCGTGTTACAGTGTGTTACAGTGTGTTACAGTGTGTTACAGTGTGTTACAGTGTGTTACAGTATTACATTGTTACAGTGTTATACCGTGTTACAGTGTTATACCGTGTTACAGTGTGTTACAGTGTGTTACAGTGTTATACCGTGTTACAGTGTGTTACAGTGTGTTACAGTGTTACAGTGTTACAGTGTTACAGTGTTACAGTGTTACAGTGCTACAGTGTTACAGTGTTACAGTGTTACAGTGTTACAGTGTTACAGTGTTACAGTGTTACAGTGTTACAGTGTTACAGTGTTACAGTGTTACAGTGTTACAGTGTTACAGTGTTACAGAGTTACAGTGTTACAGTGTTACAGTGTTACAGTGTTACAGTGTTACAGTGTTACAGTGTTACAGTACCTGCACATGTCGTACCACCAGACAGTCTCATGTAGACCTCTGTTAGTCTGCACGTTGTTGTAGTTGCCGTTCATCCTGTTAGTGTAGGCGTTATTCTTAGTGTTCTGATTATCTCCTTCGTATTCGTTCTTGTTAGGCTGGTTGTAGCCCTGAGGGTTACCATAGTTACAGTGGGGGGGGGGGCTGGTTGTAGCCCTGAGGGTTACCATAGTTACAGTGGGGGGGGGGGGCTGGTTGTAGCCCTGAGGGTTGGATGTTAGTCACAGTGGGGGGGGGGGGGGGGCTAGTCTTAAGGATTGGGTGTTAGTCACAGTGGAGGGGGGGGGCTAGTCTTGAGGGTTGGGTGTTAGTCACAGTGGGGGGGGGGGGGGAGTTGCCTATTATTTGACGTTATAAAGGTTAATTGACAGGTAATGAGGTGTAAGTAAATAAAGTGTTCTCACTTGGGTGTTAGTAGTTGTACCGTCCCTCAAGTAAAGATTCCTCTCTGTTTTATCCGTGTCCCCATTACCTTGTCCTGTGGGGTAGTTAGCGTCTGTTCCGTTCGTCTGGCACATCATCTGAGACAGGAGAGGTTAAATTTGGGAAGTTTTAGATAAACGTGCTTCTTCGAACCGAAACGATGCTTGCTATAGATGAATAAGTTAGTTCCGGTTTATTTGCTCACCTGTACCACTATGTTACAGTTAGTTTTATGAGGGGAGTCCTTGTTGCCACCACACCCGTGCTGATTCGTCCACTCTACAATCAGCTTACTTTGCTCACTCTCAGTGGCCCCACTCGCGTAGTATTGCTGAGAAGGGGTTTCCAGTGAGATGATAAACTTACAATTATAGAATACTGACCTAGTGACCTAAGATAAGAAGTTCTTTGCGTAAAGTACGTATGTGTACGCTAAATTGAAAAGTACGGTATACGTCCATACTAAGTCGTCTGTTACTTTATGTATAGTGTATACAAAACACTCAATCACAGGTTTGACAAACAATTTTTGGATCGTACATACTTTTCAATTAAAGGTAAGTATGATAACCGTCGAATTGAAAAGTACGACCAGTCCGAACGTCTCATCTTATTAGATACTGACGGTAAACTTACCATAGAATACTGTCTCATCTTATTAGATACTGACGGTAAACTTACCATAGAATACTGTCGGCGAGGGTGCTGCCCGGCAGCCTTGTCACCTCTATCTCCCGTGTTGTAGCCTCCTCGGTTATTGTTCTGAGAGTCGAACAATCTGTTGGCGTTTGTTCGTGTAGCTGTATTCTCGTTCAGCCTGTAGTGGAATTAGTTAATTAAACAAATATTATTACTCAAAGTTTTGACAATTTTTATCCGATATTGCTATATTGCAACCTCCAGCAGGGACCAATATATAAACAAGATAAGTAAAGTAAGACTGGGTGGTAAGTAGTGGTAACTATGTGTGACCTGTTGTTGGAGCCTCTAGGGTTGGTAAGGTAGGTATCTGCCATGATACACATCACCAGACATAACACTATCACCACGTGCTCCTTCATTCTGCAGGAGTACTGAGTTATAATCACACCACTCATATCTGACACTCATAAACTAGTTGGCAAAATTACTAGAAGTTTATAACCTACTAAAGAAGGTAGGGAGCTCCCAGCAGCCTGTAAACTACTCATGATCCCCTCCCGCCCCCCCCCCCGCCCCCAGCAGCCTGTAAACTAACTGTATAAACTAACTAAACTTTAAGCTAACTAAACTTACTCAAGTTTGTAAAATGTCCGTCTGAAACTTCAGGGATTACAACTTTTCTCAGAACTTCAGGGATTACAGAACTAAAATTGATCTTAAGCATATTTATGTTAAAATGAAACAAACGAAGTGAAAAATAAGTTACAAAATAGCATGCAACAATTGAGAAGGCTAGAAAGTGGTGGGATTGCTTCACATATGCGATGTAAAAACAACATTGCACTAGCATCAGATATAACAGCACTACCTTTTAAATAAACAAAGCACGATTCTGCTACTTTCTGTGACTGCAGTGTCATGGTATATATATTATATAATATGACAATGGTGGGGGGGGGGAGGGTTATCTTTACGAGGGGGGTGGGGTTATCTTCACGAGATTGAAATGGGAGGATCTTAGTCCCTCACAAATCGCCACATTAAAGAAGGAAATATTCAAATCAGTTTGAGTGGAAATAGTAGTAGTAAAGATAAGCAAATGAAATGCATGTCAGGTGCGTAATGCCCAGAGAAAAAAGACCGAACATCCGGGAGAAGTTTGAACCGATCACGTGACACTTACAGAGGATCACGTGACACTGACAAAGCTGTAGCCGGATTGTTTTTACAAGGTATTCACGACTTCAACCACCAGGTACATCCACGACTTACGGCAATTCTACTGTCACTTTGCGTGGAGCATACAAAAACACTTCATTTTTGTCAAGTTTTGATGGTTTATTTTCTAGCTTTGAGGATATAATTTATATGGTATCATAATATCATTTGTTTTTTGCGTAATTCGTTGCCTATTCTTTCCGATAACTAATATTTTCATTGATCGCTATCATAAGTGGGTTCGAACAGTTTGCAAAAAGTCTAAAGCAAATAAAATACCTAAAAGCTCAGGTAAAAATGTTATACTATAAAACTGGCTTCCATGTAGATAGTAAAAAAACGAGTCCTTCGAAAACAGACGTCAAGAATGTTTGAGTTCTTGAGCGAACAATTGTCGCACGGGAGAGCTATAAAATAAACCCTTGTTTAAACAAAGCACTTATACCCACGACAGATCCCGTTATCTCGCTCTACAAAAGGGCATTGTCCTTCCGAGGAGCTCCGGTGAAACTCTTTGTTATCTGAATAATGGGATGCTTGTTACTCCGTATTGGCTGGTTCAGTGCACGTGTCTGCCTCGTGTTGGCCCTACACTTGGGGGGGGGGGGGGGGGGGGGGGGGGGGGAGGGGTCTATAGCGGTGTGACATCTTTTATCTAAATAAACAGATAACTATTTTGATTCTATCTAGATAAAACTGATAATTTTCCTGCTCATTGCTAGAGGCAAAAGCCAAAATGTTTTAAAAATTTCATTAGGACTAATTGGTGACTTTTATCACTGTTTACCAGTAAACTTGGTACAGCACCACTTCTTTTCTTCCGAAAAAATTAAAGCACCAGTTTCCTTTTCCTAAAAACAATAAAGCATCACTTACCCGTTTCCTTCTCCCGTTGACAATTTGGAGGAACAGATCTTTTCTCCTGGAAACAATGTCTCACCCCCACTCCCCAGGAAACTTCCAGAATTCAATAGAGCGCCATGCTGGTATTTCTGACTCCTGTTAATTAGTTAATAGCAACATGCTGGTGCCTGTCTCCAGAATGGTTGTAAGCTAAAATGGCAGCATCCTTCTCAAGAAAACTATGTCAATAGCCTCCTCTGTACTTTTGCAATTCATCCATAAGGACACAAATGCAGACAAACCTCTTAAACTCACATCCAATTAAACTGCCTCTTCAATCATATTAGAAGACGTTTGAGACTGTTTCTTGCAGAACTTGGAAACAGGGAGAGGCGAAAGCACTAATATTTTCTTCAAATTTTACTGTATTGTGGCAGTGCCAGTATTTTCGGTAATTTCTACTGATAATTTTTGTACCGATAAAAATATAATATATATTTTATCTGGGACCAAACCAACTATTACCTCAATTCTTAAGTCTTTTTTTAAATGCAGAATCATCCACACTATCTGACTTCTGATGTCTGAGACTTACGACTTCAGATGTAGCTTTAAACGAAGTTTTATGGGCCCAACGGTCAGCTGTTCATCAGGATTAAACTGGGCCTGGTCTTTCAGCCAGTTGTCACTCCAGGTCTTGTTCTCTTGTTGTAGCGACTAAACCACATAGCGTAGGAGCCTTTGATGGACACTACTGCAATGGTATTCAGTGCCTTCCTCTTCTTATCCCGGGTGAGGAAGCTGAATATTTGGTGTAGTGAGAAGTGGTAGAACCCACAACACACAACTTCTACCGTGAAGAGATCCCCTTTCCCTCATAACACTTACCAACATCCTCCACTGTACACTTTGATTTCTCCGGCAACCTCCCATAGGGCTACCATACCCCAGAGGCAGGCAGAGCATCCACACGCTATCCTCTCGTTGGCCAACCATGCCCAGCCTCTCTTTAAAAAGAAAAAGATCCACCAGTACCTGTTCGTAACCTTTCTCTTTTCGGGATTTCTGTTCTTCAAAGTTCTCCTCGTTTCCACAGGTCAGCTTTATCAGGATGACTAGCTCCTGAGTCTATCCGAGAAGATAACAACATCAGGTCTGAGAGCTGTATTTACGATGTGCTGAGGGAATTGTCTCATCTTTTCATCCTCATCAAATATCAACTTCCAGTCATTCGCTTCTTGTAGCAAGTGTGGTTCTCCAGTTAACTCTCTCTTGTAGATTCCTTGTTCTGACGAGAACTTCCGCCACTCTCTCGGGGGCAGCGTTGTTCACCTCCCTAAACTGATACTAATAAATTATCAGAGATAGTTATAATAGGTTACGATTATTTGGAGCCTAGTAGAGAAGAGCCAAGAGGGAGGGCGCTGAGGTACTCCTCCCTCTCTAGTAGAGAAGAGCCAAGAGGGAGGGCACTTAGGTACTCCTCCCTCTCTAGTAGAGAAGAGCCAAGAGGGAGGGCACTTAGGTACGTTTTGCCGCCGCTCCAGTACCACGGTTACATTTTTGAGTTTAATTTTTGTGTAATATATCAAATTGTGTTTCCAACTTGACTAGAATCCTTCGTCACGGACAAGTGCACGGACAAGTGCGCGGAAATTTCGCGGCAAATTACCACGAAATAGTAACAGAAATCAGTCTCGATACGTGGAACAACGTTTTGCCTCGCCCCTGGGAGCATTTTTAACCTAAAATATTAGTTCCGTTTCGTCCGAACGTTTAAGTGAATGGGATAATGCACAAATTGGACTTTTTTATTTCCTTCTTAAAGAATATACCTAATATTAGGCAACATGCTGTTCGCCTACTGCCCCCCCCCCCTCTCCACACAGCGGGGTAGCGGGGATGGTCTTATTCAGAATATGGTTTACAGAACTGTAAACTTGTAAACCACATGACAGCTCAGAGAGTCTGTCACAAGTATAAAAACCAATGTAACAGATAAGGATCTGGAGGGGGTTCCTGATTACTAAGGATATACCATGTTGTTTGTTATCTGATATAACATTTTGTCTCTGTTATCTGATATAAAATGTTGTCTCTGTTTTGAGTGCTGGTCTCCGTGTCACGTGTTGCTAGTTTTTCAGTTTGTTCCAATACGTCACTACTTGCTAACTACATGACCTAAAGATCCTAAAATATTCACCACCATCTGATGAGAATGGTAAGTGCAAATGTCATTGTCAGCAGGTATTGTTATCCCCACAATAAGCTGAAAAGCTTCCTCACTCTATTCCTGACTCTATTGTACTTCTTATTGTGACGCTACTTTTTGTTAGGGGACGTTTGTTCTCCTAACTGGTCACGTGTGACGCTTTAAAGGACAATAACCCTCTACGGAGTTGTGAGACTCTCAGTGTACCTCCCTTACTGTTATGGCAACACGGCTTGCAACCTACTTTAGTTGACTTGTCTTACTATTTCCAGTAAACAGTTTTTCTCATTTAGTGGTATCTTGATTGAAAAGTATCTCTTATTTTGATGATATCTTTCACCTAGCCATGAGTCTGCGCGTACTGCGTGACGCGCTTGTTTCACTGCAAGCGAGAGGGCTCTGGATAGAGCAAATAATATCTTAGACTTAACAATAACTTGTATTACTTTTATTTCTCATAGCACTAATATCCCCAATGTTACCACGTTACATTGCTCTGATTTGTTTCCTCCTAAGCTATAAACGAGTCTCAACTGAGGAATGAGATTAGCTTTTCTAGCTCTGGTTGCTGTGGCGACAGTATGGGGGGACGTGTACTTGCAAGGACCTCGAGGCAGTAACAACAGACTGAACGAGGAAGGAAGAGAACGCAACAACGGAAACAGGTACATTGCAGGGGTCACATTATTAATTATTAATCAAAACCTCCTAATTCAAACAAGAATGGTTTATTCTTGTTAATGATTGACGATGCTGCATATTTATTACTATTTTCTGTGATAATTACAATATGATCCAAGATTAGTTCGCTGCTATTGATTATCCGTGGTTATGGTGTGGGAGCTGCAGCCCCCTGCCCCCCCCCCCCTGGCTACGTGCCTGTGTGGGGGCTGCATCCCCCTGCCCCCCTCCCCCTGCCTGTGTGGGAGCTGTAGCCCCCTGCCCCCCCTGGCTACGTGCCTGTGTGGGAGCTGCAGCCCCCTGCCCCCCTGCCCCCTCCCCCTGCCTGTGTGGGAGCTGTAGCCCCCTGCCCCCCCCCCCCCTGTGGAGCTGTAACATAATATTGCAGGATGTTCGATTCGCAGAACAATAACAGAGGAGGCTACAACCATGGTAACTTGTACTACTACACTGGATCTACTGTACAAGTAGAGTGGTAAGTTAGGTTAATTAAAGGATACAATTACTTTATATAACCTGAGTTAGGGATCAAAACCAATTAAAATATTCAGTTAATTACTATGATATTATGTTTATTACCATGATATTAAGTTAATTACTACAACAATATGTTTATTACCATGATATTAAGTTAATAACTCTGCCTGCAGGACGAACCAGCACTCGTGCGGTAATGTAAACAACAACTGTGAGCTGGTACTACAGTACATGTGTGGAGACCTGGTAAGGGACGGGACCACCACTAACACTATCCCTGATGACCGGTGGAAGTGTGACCGCGCTAACTGTGACACTGACATGGAGTGAGTGGAAACTTTTAGGCAACTTTACACTTTACTTTCATACTTTTACTCTCAAATTTGCTGAACCTAAAGGTTGTTGCACTATAAGGTCCGAAACTTTAAAGGTCGTAATAACATTTATATTTAAATTATGGCTACTGATATTCGCCACAATTGTTCATTTTAAGTTTGACTGTACCCCGGTCAGATACGGAATGCACGAGGACTACTGGTACTACAAGGAGTGTAAGCAGCGGTACAGGAACAAGGGACTGTACACTGCTGACCAGAAAATGAAGGAGGGAGCGTACAGCACCAGGCAGAACAATGGAGGAACCAGGAGAGGGTACGAGTGTCCTGAGGAGAGAGATCACTATCCTTACTGGCACCCTACTCACTGGAGGGTAGGTTGCACAGGACAATTACTTAGTAACCACTTAGTAACCACTTAGTAACCACTTAGTAACCACTTAGTAACCACTCAGTAACCACTGAGTAACCACTTAGTAACCACATAGTAATCACATAGTAACCTCTAACAACATCCTAGTAACCGATTAGTGACCAAGCTTAGTAACCACTTAGTAACCACCCCGTAACCATATTACTCCACTTTGCAGGATATTGCGGTGTTCACGAACGACGTGAAGAGATGTGACTACTACAAACAGGAGAGTCAGAATGTAAAGAACAAGGGTTACTGCAAGTACCCTGACAACTACCTCCAGTTCAAGGAGGCGCAAGGTAAGGAACAAGGGTTTTTCAATAAAATAATAAATAGCGTTAATAATGATTGCTCACTGGCATGACTATCTCTATTACTACCAGTTAAACATATGGTCCCCACTACAGGACACTACCCTATTACTACCAGTTAAACATATGGTCCCCACTACAGGACACTACCCTATTATTACCAGTTAAACATATGGTCCCCACTACAGGACACTACCCTATTATTACCAGTTAAACATATGGTCCCCACTACAGGACACTACCCTATTATTACCAGTTAAACATATGGTCCCCACTACAGGACACTACCCTATTATTACCAGTTAAATATACGGTCCCCACTACAGGACACTACCCTATTATTACCAGTTAAACATATGGTCCCCACTACAGGACACTACCCTATTATTACCAGTTAAACATATGGTCCCCACTACAGGACACTACCCTATTATTACCAGTTAAACATATGGTCCCCACTACAGGACACTACCCTATTATTACCAGTTAAACATATGGTCCCCACTACAGGACACTACCCTATTATTACCAGTTAAACATATGGTCCCCACTACAGGACACTACCCTATTATTACCAGTTAAACATATGGTCCCCACTACAGGACACTACCCTATTATTACCAGTTAAACATATGGTCCCCACTACAGGACACTACCCTATTATTACCAGTTAAACATATGGTCCCCACTACAGGACACTACCCTATTATTACCAGTTAAACATATGGTCCCCACTACAGGACACTACCCTATTATTACCAGTTAAACATATGGTCCCCACTACAGGACACTACCCTATTATTACCAGTTAAACATATGGTCCCCACTACAGGACACTACCCTATTATTACCAGTTAAACATATGGTCCCCACTACAGGACACTACCCTATTATTACCAGTTAAACATATGGTCCCCACTACAGGACACTACCCTATTATTACCAGTTAAACATATGGTCCCCACTACAGGACACTACCCTATTATTACCAGTTAAACATATGGTCCCCACTACAGGACACTACCCTATTATTACCAGTTAAACATATGGTCCCCACTACAGGACACTACCCTATTATTACCAGTTAAACATATGGTCCCCACTACAGGACACTACCCTATTATTACCAGTTAAACATATGGTCCCCACTACAGGACACTACCCTATTATTACCAGTTAAACATATGGTCCCCACTACAGGACACTACCCTATTATTACCAGTTAAACATATGGTCCCCACTACAGGACACTACCCTATTATTACCAGTTAAACATATGGTCCCCACTACAGGACACTACCCTATTATTACCAGTTAAACATATGGTCCCACTACAGGACACTACCCTATTATTACCAGTTAAACATATGGTCCCCACTACAGGACACTACCCTATTATTACCAGTTAAACATATGGTCCCCACTACAGGACACTACCCTATTATTACCAGTTAAACATATGGTCCCCACTACAGGACACTACCCTATTATTACCAGTTAAACATATGGTCCCCACTACAGGACACTACCCTATTATTACCAGTTAAACATATGGTCCCCACTACAGGACACTACCCTATTATTACCAGTTAAACATATGGTCCCCACTACAGGACACTACCCTATTATTACCAGTTAAACATATGGTCCCCACTACAGGACACTACCCTATTATTACCAGTTAAACATACGGTCCCCACTACAGGACACTACCCTATTATTACCAGTTAAACATATGGTCCCCACTACAGGACACTACCCTATTATTACCAGTTAAACATATGGTCCCCACTACAGGACACTACCCTATTATTACCAGTTAAACATATGGTCCCCACTACAGGACACTACCCTATTATTACCAGTTAAACATATGGTCCCCACTACAGGACACTACCCTATTATTACCAGTTAAACATATGGTCCCACTACAGGACACTACCCTATTATTACCAGTTAAACGTATGGTCCCCACTACAGGACACTACCCTATTATTACCAGTTAAACATATGGTCCCCACTACAGGACACTACCCTATTATTACCAGTTAAACATATGGTCCCACTACAGGACACTACCCTATTATTACCAGTTAAACATATGGTCCCACTACAGGACACTACCCTATTATTACCAGTTAAACATATGGTCCCCACTACAGGACACTACCCTATTATTACCAGTTAAACATATGGTCCCCACTACAGGACACTACCCTATTATTACCAGTTAAACATATGGTCCCCACTACAGGACACTACCCTATTATTACCAGTTAAACATATGGTCCCCACTACAGGACACTACCCTATTATTACCAGTTAAACATATGGTCCCCACTACAGGACACTACCCTATTATTACCAGTTAAACATATGGTCCCCACTACAGGACACTACCCTATTATTACCAGTTAAACATATGGTCCCACTACAGGACACTACCCTATTATTACCAGTTAAACATATGGTCCCCACTACAGGACACTACCCTATTATTACCAGTTAAACATATGGTCCCCACTACAGGACACTACCCTATTATTACCAGTTAAACATATGGTCCCCACTACAGGACACTACCCTATTATTACCAGTTAAACATATGGTCCCCACTACAGGACACTACCCTATTATTACCAGTTAAACATATGGTCCCCACTACAGGACACTACCCTATTATTACCAGTTAAACATATGGTCCCACTACAGGACACTACCCTATTATTACCAGTTAAACATATGGTCCCCACTACAGGACACTACCCTATTATTACCAGTTAAACATATGGTCCCCACTACAGGACACTACCCTATTATTACCAGTTAAACATATGGTCCCCACTACAGGACACTACCCTATTATTACCAGTTAAACATATGGTCCCCACTACAGGACACTACCCTATTATTACCAGTTAAACATATGGTCCCCACTACAGGACACTACCCTATTATTACCAGTTAAACATATGGTCCCCACTACAGGACACTACCCTATTATTACCAGTTAAACATATGGTCCCCACTACAGGACACTACCCTATGCTGATGAATAACAAGGCGGAGTGTGAAGAGCAGTGGGTAGAGCACGGCGGGGAGATGGTGCAGCCGGTGTGGATGGAGAAGGGAGCTTGGAACATGGACCCTCCTGCTTGTCTACCGTCACCATGGTCACGTGATAATCACCATGGCAACAACATGGACGGGTTTATGAACAACTACAACTGGACTGTTCCTGAAGATATCCTCCACAAGAACTGTGCTCTCAGACTGAGGTAACATTTCACAGCAATATAACCAATTATTCCATTTATATAATTCCTGGCTTTTATATTTTACCTTGAAGAGTTATCATCACTTAGTTGTCTGCACCCTCTGATCTCCACCTAGGTACAATATTACAGCTGGAGAATTACCGGGCGGAGGTTTCGACTCTAGCATTAACGCTACTCTTAACGCTGAGAAGGACGACGCGTGAGTAAATTAAATTGTTCATCTCAGAGGTACATGATACTGGGAACTTAGGGAACTAATATATATATAAGGGAATTCTATCATTTGAATGAGGTCTGTTAACAAAGTAACAAAAACACTAAATAACTCTCACTTCTAAAATATCTGCAGCCCTACTGGTATTGACGTAGCAACAACGTACGGGCTCCCCACAGAGAACGATAGAGGGTACTACTTCCAACAGGACGCTGTGGTCAAGGTGAGACCAGGCTTCTGTTGTAAAACAATTTGTTTGAAAAACTTGCCATAATTTAAAATAATGGTTTTGTTAACCGGCTTGTGTAACTACCGATGAAGTGCTGATATTCAAAGATGTGGGCACAAATAGGAGCGGTGATGGTTAGTACCACCCTATGCTCCAAAATACTGATCTAGAACGTTTGTCAGGTATTCGACCTCCCGGAAAGTGACGTTAAGCTGGACCTGGAAGTGACTCTGAACACAAACCAGTACGGCAGAACTTTCGAGGACAGAACCCACGTCTTTGAGATAAGGAAACGACCTGACGACGTCCCAGAAAACGCTAAAATACACAATTTGAACGTGCGCGGGAAAAGAGGGAACATTGTACAGACGTACCCTGGAGTGGAGTATGATTACCAGCCCAACAGACTGGAGATCAACCAGGACGACTATCTCCATATTCAGTGAGAACCACTCTCCTTCCTTATATATGTATTATACTTTCCTTCCCAAATAACATTTAAACACCACATTCCTTCTCATTTTATTTTGACCTTGTTTTAAAACAACATGTTGATTTCAATAACTGATATGTCCCACTAGGTGGACAGGGGCAGACTCAAACCCGGGAAATAATGCGGGACAGGGCCGAGCAAGGACAGACAGGAACAACATTGTCCCCCTGAGAGAAATCACATGGCCCAAAGAGGGGGCATTCGAGGACGAGGGTACTTACTTACTAATATATTATATATATTGAAGTGGGATTCTATATTATACCGCGATTAATTTATTAACTAATATAAATATTGATCCACTTAAATAACGAAATATTGATTGTTTAAGTAAATAACCAACTGTTTCCTTTTTCTAGCTCACGGTTGTTTTGCCTGCAACTATCCGGAGCTATTCACCAACTCAACAAGTCTTCTCGGCTTGGGAAGAGACGACCTCATGGCTCTGGCTTATCACTCCGGCAGTGAGTTTGTTAAATTTATTTTACGTTAGAGAATATTTCATTTTAGCTATATTCGTGTGATGAGTTCTAAAACTGTGAGTAAACATATTAACCTCTTGACAGATCACTATTTCGGAGATATTGAAGAGTTAGACGATACTGGAACCCACTTTGACCTGGGTCTCAGACAGATAAAAATGTCAGGAATATGGAGATTCTTGTGCACAAGAAACAACAACTTTACCAACCGCTCTCAGAAAGGAGAGATCAGGGTGGTCCCCAAGTGAGTAGATCTGATCTCTATAATAATACAGCGAGTAGAAAGTGGGATCTCTTTATTAACCTGATTATTTTACATTTCATTCGAACTTTAGAAAATAATATTAACCAATTAACACTTTCAGATCTGAACAGGCCGAAAGAGCGTAAACCCTAGTGATGATAAAAGAGATTGGTATAATCCCAAGAACATTATATTCGGCGATCTTTAGTATGTTTTAGTTTATATTTATGTGAAACAAAATTGTCATGTTTTCGAATAAATTGAGGCTTTTAAAACAAAATCGTGTATTATTATTTTATAAATGTTACTAAATTTTTACAAAATGAAGCAAGTGACATGAATAAAATTAATTTATAGCAAAACGTTAAATGTAAAATAATTGCTACAAATAAAGAAACACCGAAAATCTTGTCTCACGACACGAGACCGCTGCGAAGCTTACTGGGGTCCCAAGGTAACTGTGTTACTGGGGTCCCCAGGTAACTACGTAGCAGGCCTGCAGTGTAATGAAAATCCGTCAAATAATAGGTACTAGAAAGTAAGAATAGAAGAGCTATCAAACAGGTGTTGCTCCATCAGATATCAGATTTAAACTTTGATTACTTTTTATAGAACTTTTATTACTGGCCCCAGTCTCACTTACAGTAACAGTGTCCTGCATCTGAGAGAAGGAGTACATCTCTTTATTAGAGGAGAGCTTATTTCTAGTGTTCTGTAAGCTGACCCTGAGGGGTCTACTCAGATACTGTATGTTCTGGAGAGAGCTCTGCACCATCCTGCTCCCCCTGTTCTCCACCAGTTTTCTAAACCTTCTGTTTATCATGGTGTATATAACGGGGTTACCCCAGGTGCTCATGGTGTAGAGGAAGTAACCCCCGAACTCTAACCAGCTCAGTATACTCCTGTACTTAGCGCCCTTTATTGGCTGGTCATATTCCACCTGGGTCCGGAGATAAACCATCACAGATATCCAGCCCATGTAGAAAGTCCAGCCCAGTATAAAGAGTCCGGAGATACACAGTGTGGTTATTATGGGTTTCTGTTTGGACCTGTTCTTGGTGGTAGCGTAGCTGGTAGCCTTGTAGAGGAGAAGGAGGTTTAGAAGGAGCATGAGCAGGAAGGAGATGTAGAATATCATGTACAAGCTGATACCTGCCTGGAATACAATGTATAATGTATAATGTATAATGTATACTAACATGTACAAGCTGATACAGTTATACCTGCCTGGAATACGCAACTTGTCAGCCAGTGGCTACTAACTAACTAACTAGTTGTTAAAAACGAAAAATCAATCTAAATCTATTGAATTTAATGAAATATTGAAATTTTGAAAGAATCAGACGTAAACATTATCAAAAACCAACCTGTTGTTGTCCAGTAAGTTGCCCAAACTTTACATTGTCCTCTTCCAATTCGGAGCACAGTTCTCTAATCATGAAGGCTTTCCTGTCACCACAGGCTGAGCTAGACAAGCCCTGGAACATAGCGAGAGGGTAGAGCGCGTACCCCGCAGAAACAGTGCAACTAACAGCACCCACCAGCTTAGCTCGAGCTACTGTAATCCGCTTCAGTGGGTAGTATATGACAGAGAGTCTGTGTAGGGTTATAACCAGGATCAGCAGGATGTTAGCTGTCCACGACATCACATTTACCCTGTTTAACACTATGTTCAGCAGCTTGTAGTTTATTAGCATGATCGGAGCGTTTATCTGGGCCGGGGAGCCGAATATATCTACTCCCTGCTCAATGTTCAGCAGGAATATATCGTTTATAATCATGATGAGTAGCGTTACTCCGTAGAGAAAGTCCATAAGAGAGAGGTAGGAGATGAAGGTGACAGTTATCTTGTCCACTCGCAGACTCCACTTGTCTCTGGATACGTTGGAGGTGACGAGGAGGATAAACCCGTTGCCTAGGATCGCTAGGATACTGCTCAGAATCCAGTAAGCAAATGTGGAGTAGTAAACCAAGTCGTTCATTTTAGTAGCTATTTCCTGAGCATGGTAAAAACTGTTAATATAGTTAACATTGGTAATCGTACTGTAGTGCGACACGTACTCTAGTGCGACACGTACTCTAGTGCGAAGTCCGACAAAAACACCCTATGTCGCACTAGGGTACGTGTCGCACTACGATCCAGGTAGCGTACTCTACTGCGACAAAATATCCTGACTTAAGTGATTCGTCGGGTCGGTTCACGTCACTTATTTCGAAATGATCTTGCGAATACGATTCGTCGGTTCACATCACGTGTTTCGAAGTGATCCACTGATCACAATTCCTTCGGGTCAGTTCAAGCCACGTATGCAGTGTGTGATCCACCGGGTAACTCGTAAGCAGCATATGATCCTCATTCCTATCACACACATTCGGCATCGTATGAAGGTATATCTCCGATTGGGATAACAAGTTCATATGCTTGGGCCATATATAACTATAAGGTCACGATGATTCTACCAAAGCATCGAACAGCATCAACATGTCTTCTTCAATCACCTTCATTCCTGGACGCACTATACTGGTTCAAGAAACGTTATCCACGACGGATACCGCTACTGCCTGGATAAGAAGCGCGACGACAGGACTTACTGCGATGCACTGAGAAGATCTGCTCCGGACTTCTCAGTCTGATGAACGACACTACTGTGACCAGTAGTAGTACGAAGACCCATTCCCACCCTCCTACTCCTGCAGCAAACTCTGTCTACACAGCAAAGTAGAACATGAAACGGAAAGCTTCCGATACTGATCTCCCTACGAAACACCTAATTGCTGACGCTGTTGGACCCCTCTCCTTCGAAGCCATGTCAAAACTCAGCAGGAATCCCTCGCTAAGATGGCACGCACAGCTCGGACGAAGGCCATGAGGCATCCTGTTGCTCCCCGCTCTTTGGCTGACCTTGTCCTAACTCCTGACTACATCAGAACGAACGGTGGCGAAACCTTCCTTCTTTGGGATTCTACCTACTCAGCAGAGAGAAGAAGATCTTTCCTGTTCGGCACTGTGGAAAATATGGATCGTTTAGCCTTCAGCTGGTGACTATCCACGGACTCTATCCTGACGGCTGGAGAATTCCCCTTACATTCGGCTTACTCCCGTGGATTGGAGGAAGATGCAGCAACATGACCTAGCGAATGTGTAAAGTGCTTTGTCGCACTTTAGTTCGTGTCGCACTACAGTCCAGGTAGCGCACTGTAGTGCGACAGTGTCGGCCTTGAAAATTCTCTGTCGCACTAGGGTACGTGTCGCACTACGATCCAGGTAACGTACTCAACTGCGACATTGTCGATCTTTGAGGTTTCGCACTAGGGTACATGTCGCACTAGAGTACGTGTCGCACTACAGTACGTGAACCGTTAACATTAACATTTAGATTACAGTAAAACCTTTTTATACCGGACTCCTCGTGGGAAACGAAAAGTGCACTTGTACCTACTACTACTATGCACTGTATAGAAAGAAAACCCGGTTTACACAATACCACCAAATCGATGTGGGCACTGAAAAAATCACAACCCCCTCAGGAAAAGAAGGATAAAATTTAACGAATAAGGATTAATCAACGTTTTTAGGAAAACGTTTTGCTAGTATTGTCCAATATTTAAACTACGATTTGGTTCTTCTCAATAAACAAAAAGATACTACAATGAGTATCTTCATAGACTCCCAAAGTCAACAAGCTTACTGATAGTTAACTTACTCGGTGGTGAGACAATTTTTATATTTCAAAGAATGAAAGGTCGGATAATGTATAAGCCTACATGTTCTGCGACAAAGCGCTCCGGCGAAGTGTCTGAACTTGCAACTTATGATAGAGGCTCACATGTATCATTACTGTAAAATACTGCACAATTTTAAACCCATCATATTTCAATTAGACTGGGTTTGGTTGGTGACGTGTAAGCTAAACTATCAATACTAGGTTACTGTAACTATTACTACTATTAGTATCACTACATGCTAATAGGATAGCAACTCTAATATCATGGTGTCTGGAACAGGGTACTTTGGGTTGCAAAATAGCGTTCTAAATTAAATCAATACATAATTGATAATTGATATAGGCAAGCGCAAACTATTGAGTATCGGGTGCTCTAGGAATTATCGGGAGCCCACTTCTCTATCACTCTACAAATGACAAACCGATTAAATTTTAATGATATGAATAATTTAAAGGAGCCCTTGCACGAATTATACTATACGAGAGATCTTATCAGAGCGGACAATTACAAGGACATTAGAAACGATCTTGTCGATGAAATAAAACAGTTCTGTTCTGTTGTGCACAGTCTGTACATGTTTGGCTGATTTGGAACAGATGAGATTATTACCTAGTAGGTTCAGATAATAATATAATACAGGGTGGCCCAGAAGTAACTGACTAAATACTGAGCAGGATATGATATTGTTAACAGTGCTGCTAGTGGTGGGATTAACGAAAGGAGACGTATACCTGCATGGTCCCAGAGGCAGCAACAACAGACTAAATGAGCGGGGCAGGGAACGGGCTAATGCTAACAGGTAGGTAATGCTAACAGGTAAGTTATGCTTGGTAGGTAATGCTGGGTAGGTAATGCTGAGTAGGGAATGCTTGGTAATAGCTTTCTGTTGAAAAGTTACTTATAAGTTACATTACCTGGTTATATTTATGATTTTTGTCATTTCGGGCCATTTAGCACTTTAGTAGACATTTACATTTAGTCACTTACAATATTTTGGAGGAGATTGGATCACCCTATTTAAAAGGATTTTCTATATGAATATTGACATTGTAAGTTATTTGGTGAACCAGAACGAGATACATGTAAACACTAAATACCAGAGACAATAGCAACAAACACCTAATTACCTCCCAATTAACTCCTAATTAACTCCTAATTACCTCCTAATTAACACCGCTAATAGTAGAATAATGGTTATAAACAAATTAGGAGCCTTAGCTTGTTTTGGCTACTATAGTGATAAGTTGAACCTCTCTCAAGGCATCAATCAAAGATTGGCAAATGTAGAAACGTGGATTTTGTCTTATTGATCTGACATATCATTTGCAATAAAGTATAAATTCTACAACCAGCATGTAGATAATAGACAAGATAACAGGTTTAACTTAACCCTTAACTATTCGCAGACTGTTTGTAGATAATAGACAAGATAACAGGTTTAACTAAACCCTTAACTATTCGCAGACTGTTTGTAGATAATAGACAAGATAACAGGTTTAACTAAACCCTTAACTATTCGCAGACTGTTTGTAGATAATAGACAAGATAACAGGTTTAACTAAACCCTTAACTATTCGCAGACTGTTTGTAGATAATAGACAAGATAACAGGTTTAACTAAACCCTTAACTATTCGCAGACTGTTTGTAGATAATAGACAAGATAACAGGTTTAACTAGACCATCAACTATTCGCAGACTGTTTGTAGATAATAGACAAGATAACAGGTTTAACTAGACCATCAACTATTCGCAGACTGTTTGTAGATAATAGACAAGATAACAGATTTAACTTAACCCTTAACTATTCGCAGACTTTTTGTAGATAATAGACAAGATAACAGGTTTAACTAGACCATCAACTATTCGCAGACTGTTTGTAGATATTAGACAAGATAACAGGTTTAATTAGACCATCAACTATTCGCAGACTGTTTGTAGATAATAGACAAGATAACAGGTTTAACTAAACCCTTAACTATTCGCAGACTGTTTGACTCTCAGAACATTTGCAATAAAATATAAATTCTACAACCAGCATGTAGATAATAGACAAGATAACAGGTTTAACTAGACCATCAACTATTCGCAGACTGTTTGTAGATAATAGACAAGATAACAGGTTTAACTAGACCATCAACTATTCGCAGACTGTTTGTAGATAATAGACAAGATAACAGGTTTAACTAGACCATCAACTATTCGCAGACTGTTTGTAGATAATAGACAAGATAACAGGTTTAACTAGACCATCAACTATTCGCAGACTGTTTGTAGATAATAGACAAGATAACAGGTTTAACTAGACCATCAACTATTCGCAGACTGTTTGTAGATAATAGACAAGATAACAGATTTAACTTAACCCTTAACTATTCGCAGACTTTTTGTAGATAATAGACAAGATAACAGGTTTAACTAGACCATCAACTATTCGCAGACTGTTTGTAGATATTAGACAAGATAACAGGTTTAATTAGACCATCAACTATTCGCAGACTGTTTGTAGATAATAGACAAGATAACAGGTTTAACTAAACCCTCAACTATTCGCAGACTGTTTGTAGATAATAGACAAGATAACAGATTTAATTTAACCCTTAACTATTCGCAGACTTTTTGTAGATAATAGACAAGATAACAGGTTTAACTAGACCATCAACTATTCGCAGACTTTTTGTAGATAATAGACAAGATAACAGGTTTAATTAGACCATCAACTATTCGCAGACTGTTTGTAGATAATAGACAAGATAACAGGTTTAACTAAACCCTCAACTATTCGCAGACTGTTTGACTCTCAGAACAATAACAGAGGAGGCTACAATCAAGGTTCGCTGGTCTACTACGAGGGTTCTATAGTTAATATAGAGTGGTGAGTTAACTACATTAGTATCTAAAACATTAATATTGAATATCTAATATTCTTAAACACTGAATAAGCTGAATTTAGATCTAGAGCATAGACTTAGAGTATAGAGTGTATATTATAGAATTTTAATGTACAGTGTAGAGAGAAGCAAGAAAGCACTAAAGCACTAAAGCACTAAGCATTGTCACCTGGTTCAACTTCCCAATTAAGGTACCGATCTCAAAGTGACGATTTTTTGCCGTATAACATTCCGTGTAACAAGGTAATTCTATTACCTATTGTCTTCTTTATATCCGGCTGCACGTGCCGCCTTGATATTTCATATAGTCTAAATGACCTGAAACTCGAAACCAAATACGAGAAAAGAAATATTGTTTTGAGGGTAAGGGAAGTCTAATCTTGAAGGTTTCACGACGACTGTATTATAATAGGGTTACGATAATGAGGGAGAGTAACTATTATACTCTAGTAGCAGGGAGGGGTATAACTATTATTATTACTACTAGGTGGTAGTAATAGTATAAGTAATATAACCTAATGTAATAAGGGGGAATACTCATGGATCTGAATGCAGAATGCGGCATAATCAAATTTCCAGTCTGCCAGTACAGATGATATCACTAGCAAACCTTTATAAAAACTATAATAAAAGTAATACAACGAATATGTAGGGCATATTCGTTACGAATATAATTTACTGGCGACTCCACTATTATTACAAGCAACATCTTTAAGTACAATTAGCAATTATCTGTTATAGACAGCAGATAACAGTATAATAGTAGCGAGGTAATTGTACTATAGGTCTTATCATGTAACCTAGTATTATACAGTGTATCATTTCACAATCATCATTGCAACATTGAGCAGTGTACCTAGTATTATAATAAAGGTAAAGAAGATTGAAGAAGATTCTCATAACTTAATTGCCGAAAATTTTGCAAAAAAAAGCTGCAATGAAGCTCTAATATTCGCCAAATTTGCCGCACTCAAAGCAAATGTAAGTAGACGCAGAATACCGCACATTATATATGTTGTCCCTGTTCCAGGGTTGCTTAAAGATATTCTAATACTGTATAGTTTTAATTTGTAACGCTCGTGAAAGTAACAAATGATTGTTACACTAACAACAAAGCATTTTTAAAGATAAAGCTACGGTTAACAGGTAATAGCACCCAATACAATGTCACACAGTGATTGTATGAAGCAGGTAACCCTGCAGTTGTAACATATAAAGCTATAGGAGTAGCCTAGAAAGCTAATATAAGTATGAACTGCAATCTGTGCCCATCAACAAACAATAAAGGCGAACAATGAAAATTCTTCGAGAAACAAAAGAATGCAATTTAGTAAATTAGTAATGCCGGCTTTTTGTGAAAGTCATGTGAAAGTTAAAGTATAAGGCATGGCAAATCACTGTGTCACTGTGTCACTGTGTCACTGTGTCACTGTGTCACTGTGTCACTGTGTCACTGTGTCACTGTGTCACTGTGTCACTGTGTCACTGTGTCATATAATAGAACTATAGAATTTGGTAAAAATGTCCGAATATGGTTTTTGGCTCATGACTTGGTGTTAGACATGTTTAGGTGATTACCGTTTAGTCATTTTTTGGAATCAATGGGCCAAAGGAACCGACTATGGGTTTCTCCTGATCCAGGACCAGTAAAAGTTTAGTAAGCTACATCAGGGCCCCCTTAGCCCAGGGAATATAATATGAAGGGTTCAAGCGAACGACCACTATGACCTGTCAGTATATCTGACAGTATAACCTCCTCAGGACTAACCAGCACTCATGCGGAGATCCTAACAATCACTGCGAACTAATTATACAGGTTTGTAAACTAATTCAAACACTACTAATCCATTAAAAATGTATTTATTGAGTAATGGGATAACCAGTCCTGGCTCCGTAATGTAAAGAATTTGTTTCAATTCCAGATGAAAAGCTCTCATACATGGAAATATTGTAACTCTTAAATTGGCCTAATAACATTAACAGTACATGTGCGGTAATCTGACTCGGGACGGGACCACAACCAGGACTATCCCCGACAGACGGGACCAGTGCGAGAACTGGAACTGTGACACCGACCTAGAGTTAGTCAATTAGTTAGTTAATTAGTTAATTAGTTGTTTGTTAAGTAAATTAGTTAATAGGGTGATTATTAGTTGATTAACGTTATTTTAACATTGCAGGTTTGGGATGCACGAGAACTACGCGTACTACAGGAACTGTAAGAACAGAGAACGGAACGAGGGACTCTTCACGGCCGACCAGGTTATCTATCTTAGTAACCACTTAGGTTATCTATCTTAGTTACTGCAGTATTAGATCTTATCATAATCTCACAATCAGAATTTAGAAAACAAATTTCTAGAAGAATAGTTCCATGACACGACCCAATACCTCCTAGTGGTAAAGAAGGCAGGATAAGGCTTGTATAATGAACGCTCATTAGGGGTCGCCCTGATTATATATATTAGTGAAATACTAGAATGAGCTGACAGATTGTGCTCCTTTATTCTCTGCTACCTTTCCAGTCATGGCAAACGCTGTTATATAATAAATGACAGGCAGATATTCATGGCCTGTAGTAGGTACTTAGGTATATATGGCTTAGCGGCAGTTAAGCGATTCTTTGTCCATCAAATTGGTATAGACTTGACGGTATATGTACCCTCTACCTGCTATAATAGATAGGAGATGAGGGAGCCTACTACTCTACTGTACAGAGCATACGTTAAACTCGTTATTCAGGGCCGGACCATTGTGAGAATATATTTAATTGGCACCTATCAGATCTTACTTCTACTTCTTAACCTAACCTGTGAACTTACAGAACTTGAGAAAGGACGATGCCAGGTCGACAAGACAGAACCCAGATGGTACGAGGAGAGGGTACGAATGCCCTGAAGAGCGGGATTACTACCCTTACTGGGGACCTACTCCCTGGATGGTAGGTTACTTAGTAACCACTTAGTAACCACTTAGTAACCACTTAGTAACCACATAGTAACCCCTAACTTACTACCCTTACTGGGGACCTACTCCCTGGATGGTAGGTTACTTAGTAACCACTTAGTAACCACATAGTAACCACTTAGTAACCACTTAGTAACCAATTAGTAACCCCTAACTTACTACCCTTACTGGGGACCTACTCCCTGGATGGTAGGTTACTTAGTAACCACATAATAACCACATAGTAACAACTTAGTAATCACTTAGTAACCACTTAGTAACCCCTAACTTACTACCCTTACTGGGGACCTACTCCCTGGATGGTAGGTTACTTAGTTACCACTTAGTAACCACATAGTAACCACATAGTAACCACATATTAACCACTTAGTAACCACATAGTAACCACATAGTAACCACATAGTAACCACTTAGTAACCACTTAGTAACCCCTAACTTGCTACCCTTACTGGGGACCTACTCCCTGGATGGTAGGTTACTTAGTAACCACTTAGTAACCACATAGTAACCACTTTGTAACCACTTAGTAACCACATAGTAACCCCTAACTTACTACCCTTACTAGGGACCTACTCCCTGGATGGTAGGTTACTTAGTAACCACATAGTAACCACATAGTAACCACTTAGTAATCACTTAGTAACCACTTAGTAACCCCTAACTTACTACCCTTGCTGGGGACCTACTCCCTGGATGGTAGGTTACTTAGTAACCACATAGTAACCACATAGTAACCACATCGTAACCACATAGTAACCACATAGTAACCACATAGTAACCACATAGTAACCACATAGTAACCACATAGTAACCACTTAGTAACCACATAGTAACCACATAGTAACCACATAGTAACCACATAGTAACCACTTAGTAACCCCTAACTTACTACCCTTACTGGGGACCTACTCCCTGGATGGTAGGTTACTTAGTAACCACTTAGTAACCACTTAGTAACCACATAGTAACCACTTTGTAACCACTTAGTAACCACATAGTAACCCCTAACTTACTACCCTTACTGGGGACCTACTCCCTGGATGGTAGGTTACTTAGTAACCACATAGTAACCACATAATAACCACTTAGTAACCACTTAGTAACCACTTAGTAACCCCTAACTTACTACCCTTACTGGGGACCTACTCCCTGGATGGTAGGTTACTTAGTAACCACTTAGTAACCACATAGTAACCACATAGTAACCACTTAGTAACCGGGACCTACCTACTGGGGACCTACTCCCTGGATGGTAGGATCAGTTTATTAATTCCTGAAACTATGTTTAGTGTACTGAATCCCGACACAATAACAGATAGCTATATCACAACCATGACATGATTGTCAACAACATAAAGTCATATGGTTGACTCTACTCTGCAACTCACTTTTCAAAAACCCTAAGAGGTGGCAAACGTCCCTGCTACACGCTCATTTTAGGCCAACAAAATGAACTATCTAGCAGTGTATCTGCGGGAAATACAGGGTGTAACCCTCAAATCCTCCATTCGCACTAAAAACTGCATCTCCCTATTAAGATTGTATCCAGGCCGCATATTTCAGGACGTAGCGATCCTGTCTAACAACGCCACAATGGAGCGCTGTGAGTTCTACAGGAACAACTCGGAGAACGTGCTGGGAAGGTTCTACTGCAAATATCCTGACGATTACTTCATATACAAGGAGGCTACTAACCGGGGTATTGAGGATATTCCCATCACTAAAGCCGAGTGTGAGGTTGGTAACAGAGAAAATCCCCCCCCCCCCCCCCCGAGTGTGAGGTTGGTAACAGACAATATCCCCGACCCTCCTAGATTACAATCATTTAAAAGCAAGAAAATTGCAACAAATCGTTATAATTAGTTCAAATAAACAACACGTGTCCACAAAACAACCCACAGGACACAAACCTAGGAGCTGACGCGGCAGGAACAGCCTTTGCTAAGCCAGTGTGGGTGCAGGCTGACCCTTTCGGTATCCCTCCTCCTGAATGTGTGGAGACGGACTGGTCACGTGACAACCACAACGGTAAGTGAGGTACCAGCTATCAGCTATACTAGAGGCAGTGTAGCAGCTATCAGCTATACTAGAGGCAGTGTAGCAGCTATCAGCTATACTAGAGGCAATGTAGCAGCTATCAGCTATACTAGAGGCAATGTACCAGCTATCAGCTATACTAGAGGCAATGTACCAGCTATCAGCTATACTAGAGGCAATGTAGCAGCTATCAGCTATACTAGAGGCAATGTAGCAGCTATCAGCTATACTAGAGGCAATGTAGCAGCTATCAGCTATACTAGAGGCAATGTAGCAGCTATCAGCTATACTAGAGGCAATGTAGCAGCTATCAGCTATACTAGAGGCAATGTAGCAACTATCAGCTATACTAGAGGCAATGTAGCAGCTATCAGCTATACTAAAGGCAATGTAGCAGCTATCAGCTATACTAGAGGCAATGTAGCAACTATCAGCTATACTAAAGGCAATGTAGCAACTATCAGCTATACTAAAGGCAATGTAGCAACTATCAGCTATACTAGAGGCAATGTTGCAGCTATCAGCTATACTAGAGGCAATGTAGCAGCTATCAGCTATACTAAAGGCAATGTAGCAGCTATCAGCTGTACTAGAGGCAATGTAGCAGCTATCAGCTGTACTAGAGGCAATGTAGCAGCTATCAGCTATACTAGAGGCAATGCAGCAGCTATCAGCTATACTAGAGGCAATGTAGCAGCTATCAGCTATACTAGAGGCAATGCAGCAGCTATCAGCTATACTAGAGGCAATGTAGCAGCTATCAGCTATACTAGAGGCAATGTAGCAGCTATCAGCTATACTAGAGGCAATGTAGCAGCTATCAGCTATACTAGAGGCAATGTAGCAGCTATCAGCTATACTAGAGGCAATGTAGCAGCTATCAGCTATACTAAAGGCAATGTAGCAGCTCTCAGCTATACTAGAGGCAATGTAGCAGCTATCAGCTATACTAAAGGCAATGTAGCAGCTATCAGCTATACTAGAGGCAATGTAGCAGCTATCAGCTATACTAAAGGCAATGTAGCAGCTCTCAGCTATACTAGAGGCAATGTAGCAGCTATCAGCTATACTAAAGGCAATGTAGCAGCTATCAGCTATACTAGCAGGGGGATATCAGCCACCTTCGATATTAACAGTTCTATGAGGTCGACAGTAGGGAGTAACAATAAAAGTTCAATTTCAAAATTAAATTAAATAGCTTATACAATATACATTATATATAATCAATATACACAGAAACACACTGAGATCAACAGGGAAATGTATGCTCCTTCATTAACAATATCAATCAAGCCACGTTCACATCAACCTGATATCAGGAACTATGTGACCCCCCCCCCCCCCCCCATCAACCTGATATCAGGAACTATGTGACCCCCCCCAGCCCCCTGCTGTGACTGTGGTGTACTCTGTATAATGAGCAAATGACATGTGTGAAGAGAATGCGCTGTCTTATCTGTGTTACTGTCAAATTACCAAAGTGGTCTACACAAACGATGTCTTCTATTCAATGTAAGGCTTGCAAAATGAGCTGAACCACGCTGATATTCCCCTTGTACTGGAGAGCAATCCCTACTCCGCAAGCAATCCTCACAAATTACAATCACTACTCCGCAAGCAATCACTACTACTGTCTACTACAACTTCACATTCAGACAACTAATCTTAATCATCCCAACACTATGTCACTATGTCAACATCTAATTCCAATGCGATTAAGAAGTCAAATTCTTGCGCAAGGTCTAATTATGGTATTTAGCCAATCCGAATGGTCAGTGGGGTCCAATATGCACTATGCAGTCAAAGCATCAGAGATGCAACTATATCTGCCAAAAGTGTGACCAGCCTTATTTATTTAGAATTGGAGCATCAAATCAAGGTACCTGGAAAACTGAACTATTCATAAGCTTTACACCCAGGTAATGGTTTGGAGGGGTTCCTTAATCAATACAACCCCAGGAAATGGTTTGGAGGGGTTCCCTAATCAATACAATTGGACGGTTCCTGCACATACTCTTAGTGATAACTGTGTGTTGAGACTCAGGTTATATTACTATATTTATCTACATTAAATCAAATATTAGGATCCAGAATTTTTGAGCTGAAATCATTGAACAGCGATATCGAGGAGTATAAGTTATTCTAAACAGCTAAAAGTTGCTCGCTATTTTCAACGCCTAAAACATCTACTGGCAGGTACAACATAACAACAGGGGAGTTCGCAGAAGGAGGGTTCGACCCAGAAATTGACGCCAGTTTAAACGCTGACAACAATAACGCGTGAGTAATAACACGTGAGTGATAACGCGTGAGTAATAACGGGTGAGTTATAACGCGTGAGTGATAACGTGTGAGTGATAATGCGTGAGTGATAACGCGTGAACTAACGAATATTTGTGTATCAATATGTGGAGTAAATTTCCAAACTGAAGGGTACGTTGCTTCTCTCGGCAACAGAGTATCTATTTACTTGGAGAGTCTGCACTCAGTGTAAAACAAAATACTTCATGTATTGTCAAATTATATTTCAGCTCAATACTTCATGAACAATAACACAAAGACGTTCAATTTAATAGTACAATGGTGTCATAATTCCCCAACTAGGTGTCCAGAGTGTGTTGGAACTTCACCTAACTAATTTAACCAATTATTTGACGCGATTAGTGAACAATAAACACTACAGCTGATAACTAACTGATCAATACAGAGCATCAGAACTAGATGTTGGTACTCAGTTCGGTAATAACGCGTGAGTAATAACGCGTTATCACTCACGCGTTATTACTCACGCGTTATCACACTACAGCTGATAACTAACTGATCAATACAGAGCATCAGAACTAGATGTTGGTACTCAGTTCGGACTAACTACCGCCCAGGCTGAGGACAGAGGATACGTGTTTGAGAACAACCCTGATGTGCAGGTTAGAACAGCTTTATCGGTAAAGTTTTACTACTCTAATTGTTAGAACAGTGTAACACTAGTACTAGTACTTATCGGTAAACTTCTTTAATTGTTCTGATACTGGACAGTCTGGATGTTTTGTTGACGTGTCGTTACTATTTTGATCGCAACACTTAGCTACACTTAGCTACATTTAGCAACACTTAGCAACACTTAGCAACACTTAGGAACACTTAGCAACACTTAACAACACTTAGCAACACTTAGCAACACTTAGCAACACTTAGCAACACTTAGCAACACTTAGCAACACTTAGCAACACTAAGTGTTGCTAAGAGTTGCTATAATAAACATATTATAACAAGACTGAAGACTATTTATAAAGCTGTATAAATTATATATAAGTTATATTATATATATATATTATATATAAAGTTACTTTTTATAAAACTGTGTAAATTATATATAAAGTTGAATAAAGTTCTAATTAGTGGATAGTGTGTAGTTATGATTAGTAGTAGTAGATATATAGTAACAGTACTATTACAGATAGTGTGTGCTTAGTCCCTCTTATCTGGCAGGTGTTTGCAGATGTAGATGTGGAGGTGCAGTTAGCAATTAACACGGCCCAATACTGCAGGTGTTTGCAGATGTAGATGTGGAGGTGCAGTTAGCAATTAACACGGCCCAATACTGCAGGTGTTTGCAGATGTAGATGTGGAGGTGCAGTTAGCAATTAACACGGCCCAATACTGCAGGTGTTTGCAGATGTAGATGTGGAGGTGCAGTTAGCAATTAACACGGCCCAATACGGCAGAACGTTCCAGGATAGGACCCATGTGTTCGCTATCAGACCCAAACCTGAAGGGACAGTGGAGGGACAGAGCATCTTCAATATGAACGTGAGTTATGTAGGGGGTAGTGGAGGGACAGAGCATCTTCAATATGAACGTGAGTTATGTAGGGGGTAGTGGAGGGACAGAGCATCTTCAATATGAACGTGAGTTATGTAGGGGGTAGTGGAGGGACAGAGCATCTTCAATATGAACGTGAGTTATGTATGTAGGGATCCCAGATATTGGTCGGTTTAAAGTTAACGGTATTTGGTTCCAAGTTCAAACCGTTTTATGTTCAGTGTCAATAGCCATTGCGATCTCAAGCAATTATTTGGCTCATTAGTTAAACCGTTTTTAAGCTTAATTAAGCAACGCCACACACTGATTAGATATTTCAGATATACCGTTAGTATTGCCTCGCAAGCAATCAGCCCATATAAATAGTTAGAGTTTTGGAGTAAAGTATTCCCACATTTTCCCTATTCCCTTTAGTCGGTCTTGTTTATACGTGTTGTTCTATTCCCTAATATATCCTTTTGTTCTAACGTTGTTATCCTCCTCGTTTCTCTTTGTTTGATCCTTCTCAAAGTAAAGAACGCAAAGTAAATTCAAGTAGGAACACGGCAAACCTACAAGTGGCGCGAACGGTAGGATCTATTCATCATCATGGGAGAACGAACCTTCGCAAACCAAGAAGAACTCGAAGCATATGTCGCAGAAAGGATTAAAGCACAGTCGGACAAGGACAACCAGGGCAAGGTACCCTACCTGCCCACACGAAAGCCAGAGCGGTTCAACCCAGCTCTGTCAACATTCTCTGATTGGATCCTTGGATGGGAATCATACATGACGCTGCTCCATCTGCCCAAAGTACCTACCTGGGAGTCCTCAAAACCTTCCTGGAGACGGATGCACTAAAACTCATCAGCTCGAGACAGTTCTCAGATGAGGAAGAGACAAACTGGGAAGAAACAGTTAAGCCGGCCTTGATGGCCATACTAGACTCAGACAGAGTCATAGACAAAGAGGCCCTGAAGAGCAAATTCCTGAAGACTGCTCAACAACTATCCGAAGACATCGCTACTTTCGGAAGCAGGGTTAAAAGAGCGTACTTTGAGGCGTACGGGGCTGCGGCCAACGAAGATCTATTAAAGCTCGTGTTCCAGAATGGACTGCGGAACAGGAATCTTGTACTACAGCTTTCAATGTGGCAGATGGATTTGACCGATACGCCAAGGACATTCACCGAGGTCCTGACAAGAGCCCAGAAAATCGAGTCGGCCATGGGAGTCAGCACAGCATTGGAGATCAACGATCAGACACACGACATTCTCGCTATCAATAGGCATATACCAGAACCTCCTCGAACTAGGGCTGAATTCCCAGCTGAACGACGCAGCTTCTATCCTCACCACCAGCAACAAGCAAGAGCGCCTATGAACTTCAGACCTGAGCACACTCGAGGTAAAGATGCAGGACAAAGCGGACCATCACGATATAGGCACCAGGAGACACGGACTTGTTTCTATTGCAACAGAGTTGGTCATATAGTAAGGGACTGCAGGACAAAGCAGAGGGACCAGTACAGAGACAGGAACCAGAATCAACACGGAGGTTCTTCATCCCACAACAACCCGGCTTCGGAAAACTAATAAGGCCCTCCCACGACAAAAGGGGGAGGGCCCCTGATAGTATATACCTTTGTCAAGGAGACGTGTACATAGAAGCCCAAGTCGGTAGCCGGCCTTCCGAGTTTATGTTGATTGACACAGGCTCCTCTCAAAACCTCATTTCATCAGAACACCTAAAAGACCTAGGAATTGAACAGAGAAACCTCAACAAGTACACGGCGAACCTTGCCGGAGTCACAGGTACTAAAGTCATCGTTCGTGGCTCCATTGAACTGAGCATTAAAATCAACAGGACAACCATGAAGTCCAAATTCATCGTGATCGACAACCCCCTTCCTCACATTATCCTCGGAATTCCCTTCATCAGTGGCCACCACCTGGTCATTGACTACCAACACAGGAGGCTCCAAAACGAGGACTTCACAACGCCACTGATCTCGCTATCAGCTATTAATCAAGTGGAGGACACCAGCCAGGAACATGAACACAAGGAGCGGACGGACAAGATCTGTGAAGCACTGGATCTCGAGAGCAGCTCGCTGAACAAAGCTCAAAGACAACAGGTACGAAATCTCATCGCTAGATACTCACACGTGTTCGCACTCAGCAGAGACGAAGTAGGTCAAACTCACTTGGTAGAACACACCATTCCATTGACATCTGATGTCCCTGTTAGGTGTAAATACCGTCCAGTACCACTTCACGCTATTGATGATTGTGTTGAGGAGATTGAAGCTCTCCTAAGGAGAGGGGTTATCGAAAGAACGGACTCTGATTACAGTTCACCGGTCGTCATCGTGAAGAAGCCTAACAAGTTTAGAATCTGTGTCGACTACAGGGAGCTCAACAAGATCTCGATCGCCAGCAGAGCAGCACTACCAGCTCTCAGCACACTCACCTCAACGTTTCATGGATGCAAGTACTTCTGCAGCCTTGACCTACGAGAAGCGTTCTACCAAGTCCCTATCAAGGAGGAACACCGGGACAGAACAGCGTGGACGATCCCCTCTATCGGACACTTCCGCAACATAGTTATGAGCTTGGGGCTCAAAGGATGCCCAGCAACGATGCAGTCACTCTTGGATAGACTACTTGAAGGCCTGAGAGATAAAGCAGCAGGCTACGTTGATGACATCATCGCAGGTGGAATAACATTTGAGGAGATGTTTGAGTTACTAGCAGAACTGTTCAGACGTCTGGAATCTGCAGGTCTGAAACTCCACCCGGATAAGTGCAGACTATTCCAGAAGAAAGTATCCTTTGCAGGAGCAAACCTCACCGAAGATGGAATTGAAGTAGACCCAAAGAAGATTGAGGCAATTCAGGATATGTGTCTCCCAAAGACGAAGAAAATGATGATGGCACTTTTAGGAAGTTTCAATTGGTTCAGGAATGTAGTCAAAGATTTTGCTGAACTGACACGACCAATGATCAACACCCTCAAGGAACCTAAGTTCGTCCTCACCGAAGACGCAACAGAGAGCATCAAGAAGTTAAAAGACGCCTTGACCAAGGCACCCATCCTAATATATCCTATCACGACAGAACCTCTTCACCTCTTTACGGATAGTAGCTCGTATTGTATTGGTGGTTCGATAGGCCACATGATTGACGGACAGTTCTACCCGATCTCCTATGGGTCAAAGATACTCTCTCCAGCCGAGAGAGCCTACCCCACCTTCAAACGAGAGTTACTGGCCCTCAAGCACTTCGCCACCCACTGGAGGTTCTACACCATCGGAAAACCCTTCATTGTTCATGTGGATCACAAGGCTATATCACAGGACAAGTTTCTCCGAAAGACCAACTGTGACGTCCTTCTGTCCTGGATTATGGAGCTAGAAGAGTATGATTTTAAGATCACCTACACGAAGGGCGACGACATGGGGCTACCCGACGCACTCTCAAGACTACCCCAGGAAAGTGATATGCTCTACGAGTGGTGGGAAGACAGATTCTCTTCAGTGGAAAAGAAAGAAGAATTTCTGGAGACAATCAAGACAAATCAGAATGAGTATGAAGCAATGAGTCTCCGGCCACACGTCATCAACCCAGTTTCAGTGGACACGGAAAGCTCGTCTGATAGTGATCATGATAGTGACGCTCCCTGCAGCAGATGTTCACACCCCTCGCCGACAGGTCACTCCTCGTCGTCGGGATCACAAGGCGGTCAGTCGACTCTCTGCAAGAAGGAAAAGAAGAAGAAGCAGAAGAAACCATCAAGTCACGTATCCCTGACAAATTCTGTGACATTCGTTAATGATCGAGCATCAGAGACCGAAGAAGATGAAGAGGAGCAAAGCACAGGACCAGTAGGCTCATTTGATAACCCTATACCAGCGCCAAACGTTAGCAGTGAAACTTTGCTCGAGGCACAACTAGAAAACGAGACCCTTAGTACCGTGAGGTCATGGTTCGTGAATGGAAAGCCAGAGAAGAGAGAGACAACCGAGTTCAACGAAGACCTGCGTCAGTACTACAGCTGTTTTGAATCTCTCACTGTGAATAAGAAGGATCTTCTCTGCTTTAAATGGAAGGGTACGAAGAAGTATAGGCTCCTTATCTGCGTACCGAAGGAGTTAAAGGAAGAAATGATGTATAACAACCACGACATCCCGGCATCGGGTCACCTAGGACCAGCCAAAACTCTGGAGAGACTGAGGAACTCATTTTTCTGGCCAAAGATGAAGACAGAAGTTCAGCTCTATTGCAATACTTGTAAAAGGTGTTTTCTGCCTAACCTGGCGTATAAAGCAAAGCCCAAAGCAGAACTCCACCCATTCTCGGCGGCTAGGCCGAACGAACTTGTGTGCATCGACCTTATTGGACCTCTATCACGAGTTGCGCAGTACAAGTGGTGCCTAACCATGGTCGACAAATTTACGAACTGGGTTGTTGCAGTACCACTTACCGATGCCAAGTCACCAACCATTGCAAGGGCCCTAATTAACTCATGGATAGTCAACCACGGAGTGCCTGAACGAATTCTATCCGACCAAGGAGCCAACCTTGACGCCAGCAAAGTGATGAAGGAGCTGTACAACGTGCTGCAGATCCAGAAGTCAAGAACGACAGCATACAAACCCTCAACTAACGGCCTCGCAGAGAACAAGAACAAGCAGATAAAGGTGGCACTCACAAAGTATATTGGGGAGAATCCCGACCAATGGCCAGAGAGAAGAGAATAGGGGCCGTGACCTTCGCTATGAACACCAGCGTCTGCAAATCGTCCGGTTTCACACCTTTTCTCCTACTCCACGGAAGAGAAGCCAGAGTGCCTAACGATCTCGTCTTTGGAACTACTTCGTCGGAATACTATCAATCCCAACATCATCTTGCTTCTCGACTTTATCACCAGTTGAAAGATACGTGGGAGCTCGCAGCAAAGAACATAAAGAGGGCTCAGCAGCAGCAGAAGCGATACTATGACAAGTGTGTGAGATTGACGGAGTACAACGTTGGGGACAAAGTGATGATTTATGTGCCTGCGATAAAGCCAGGCAGAGAGTATAACAAGTTCAAGCTACCTCTTACCGGTCCACACACGATTGTTCGAAAGCTAGGGACGGTCAACTTCGAAATTGTGTCAGACGAAACAGGGAAAGAACAGGTGGTACATTTCGACAAAATCCGGAAACTACCAACCAACTTCAGAACAGACCCTATGCTGACAAACCCAGTGGAACCAGACGAGGAGGAAAACCCAGAGGAGAGTATCAGTGATTCAGATGATGACGCTTGGTCCCCAGACTACAGCTACTATGGCCAGACGGCAACACATACGGAACCAGTCGCTGCAACCAGCAGGACAGACGAACCAATGCACCAGGACGTGCCAGAGGACGACAATGATGACGACAATGATGAGCAGAATGCAGCGGAACCTCATGATTCGCAACAGTCCCAGGAACCTAACGCTCAAACTTCCAATGCCAATGACAGGGCTACAAGGAGAGCCGGTTTGAGACCCAAGGCAGTGCTACGAGCCCCAGCGAGGAACTACGATATAAGCAGAATATCATGCATCACTGAGCAGCGACCATACTACTAATCCCCATCCCACAATGCGGACTCCTAAGAACCCTCCTCAAATCTCGGCCCAAGTTGGCACGTATCAGATTCGCCACCAACATGATCCAGCACTAGGAATGAGTCCTGGTTAACGGGATGCAACGTACACCCGGTTAACCCCGACAAGACGATCTTTGTGCTGGTCATGATCAGAAAGCCTATCTGATCGGTCAACAAGGAATACGACATCCCTTTTCCTCCAAAGTTAATGCTCTCCTCATCAGCTCATCGTTTCGCATTGGCTACCACAATTGGTTTTCGTCTATTGTGCAGGAAGACACAGTCCCCGAACGTCGCAGCCGACAGTGGCTCCTCGAAAGCCCACACAAAAGGAACAGCTGATGAACCTATGATCAAGAAGCAGAAGGAGATATACCCTAACATCCCTGAAATCATGCGTTATAAAAAGTGAACTGTATCAGTATTGTAACATTTTGTTTTTAAATTATCATAAGGACTTATAGCGATATATGTTTTGACCAGTCTGATCCACACCGCCCTATATTTTTGGGGAGGGGGTGGTGTAGGGATCCCAGATATTGGTCGGTTTAAAGTTAACGGTATTTGGTTCCAAGTTCAAACCGTTTTATGTTCAGTGTCAATAGCCATTGCGATCTCAAGCAATTATTTGGCTCATTAGTTAAACCGTTTTTAAGCTTAATTAAGCAACGCCACACACTGATTAGATATTTCAGATATACCGTTAGTATTGCCTCGCAAGCAATCAGCCCATATAAATAGTTAGAGTTTTGGAGTAAAGTATTCCCACATTTTCCCTATTCCCTTTAGTCGGTCTTGTTTATACGTGTTGTTCTATTCCCTAATATATCCTTTTGTTCTAACGTTGTTATCCTCCTCGTTTCTCTTTGTTTGATCCTTCTCAAAGTAAAGAACGCAAAGTAAATTCAAGTAGGAACACGGCAAACCTACATGTAGGGGGTAGTGGAGGGACAGAGCATCTTCAATATGAACGTGAGTTATGTAGGGGGTAGTGGAGGGACAGAGCATCTTCAATATGAACGTGAGTTATGTAGGGGGTAGTGGAGGGACAGAGCATCTTCAATATGAACGTGAGTTATGTAGGGGGTAGTGGAGGGACAGAGCATCTTCAATATGAACGTGAGTTATGTAGGGGGTAGTGGAGGGACAGAGCATCTTCAATATGAACGTGAGTTATGTAGGGGGTAGTGGAGGGACAGAGCATCTTCAATATGAACGTGAGTTATGTAGGGGGTAGTGGAGGGACAGAGCATCTTCAATATGAACGTGAGTTATGTAGGGGGTAGTGGAGGGACAGAGCATCTTCAATATGAACGTGAGTTATGTAGGGGGTAGTGGAGGGACAGAGCATCTTCAATATGAACGTGAGTTATGTAGGGGGTAGTGGAGGGACAGAGCATCTTCAATATGAACGTGAGTTATGGTTATACTCCTCGTCCAAACCTATCATGACTAAGAGTTGTTAACTTTACATATTGGTGGCTAGTGAGACTCTATACTTCTAGTTCTATATATATCCTCTACACGCAGGTACGCGGGAAGAGAGGGAATATAGTACAGGTTTACCCGGCTGTGGAGTACGACTTCGCTCCGAACCGAGTACAGATGAAGACTGGGGACTACGTACATATCCAGTTAGTGACTATTATATACACACACCCAGTTAGTGACTGTTATATACAGTATACACACACCCAGTTAGTGACTATTATATACACACGCCCAATTAGTGACTATTATATATGGACACGTTCATTTGAGTTTGAGGATATTGGTAAATATAAGTGACCCTATTAAATGGCACAGTGTAGTTGAAATTGTCACACTATGAAATTACATAAACCCTTGATGGTTAGGATAATCGTATCATCCTCTAGGCTAACTTTGTCACATAACGATATCTTAATCAGGTGATAAGATATCGCCTAAATAAGGCCGGCACGGAAATGGTTACATTGTCACACTATAAACATGTGACGGAGTAAATATGGACCCCTTGCTGCCGTTTTTGACCAAATTTTTGAGTGTCCAGTTGATTGGATGGGTACATATGACCATTACCTACATATTTGACGACTTTTTTCGTTAGATGGTGCACTCAGGTTTACTCTGTCACACATTAAAGAAAATATGTGATGAATGTTTAGGGCACCCTGATAAGCAATGCTGAGTAGTGTAGGTTTATTTGATGGCATGAAAGTGCTGGGAATTGTTATTATATCATATAGTCGTAAGGAATTAAAACACAGAAGGCACAACCAAGTTTACTTTGTCACATAATCTTGATGATACCTGAACATGTGTGAAATTGAACAAATAATGATATACCAGCTTAAACCCCTTATATTACATACTATGGATCAAACAACACTGCTAGTACCATGCACCAGTCACATGAATCATTATCAGGTGGTAATATGTTAACAGTGTCACAATTAAACTACCACAACATGGTCAAAAATAGGGTAATTTCGTCACACAAAAATTATTATAACTCTGTTAGCTCCTTGCTGGCAAAATAACAAGTTTATCGAAAAATGTTTGATGATTAAGTTTCATAGTATTCTAATAGAGGTATAGTTCTTCAAAATAGGGGCAAGACATGTTTACTTTGTCACATCAGTTATTATAAGAGTTAGGTAATCGTCATCAGATTAAAAGATATTTTTCGTAGTTTGGATCGATTAATATACCTGTAATAAAGCACCCTATGCCAATTTTAACGTGCACTATCTTGATATTGTTGGGGCAGGGAAAGTTAATTTTGTCACATTTTCAGTGTCATTGACAAATTAATCTAAAATTGTTAAAATTGAGCTCTGATGTTCTGGACAATATTCTTCCAATCGTTTCTGAAAGAATGTTGAATTCTAATAGAGTTATAGATCTTCAAAATAGGGGCAAGACATGTTTACTTTGTCACATCAGTTATTATAAGAGTTAGGTAATCGTCATCACATTAACATATATTTTGTAGTTTGGATTGATTTATATAGGCAATAAAGCATTCTAGTATGCCAATTTTAACACACTATCTTGATATTGTTGGGGCAGGGAAAGTTAATTTTGTCACATTTTTAGTGACTTTGAAAAATTTAACCTAAAATTGTTAAACTTAAGAATGTTGAATTCTTATAGAGGTATAGAATATAGATCTTCAAAATAGGGGCAAGACATGTTCACTTTGTCACATCAGTTATTATAAGAGTTATTATAAGAGACTATTTCATTCTATAATCATTGTTTTTAACCTATTTACGATTTCGTATAATTTTTTGTGACAATGTAAACATCAACTGATCTGAACTTGCATCAACTACATTGTCATCATATAAAGTTTTCCTGCCTTTCAAACCAAAATCAAATATAAATAATTCGCCCAAAATTTAAAATTTCATATATTGTGACAGAATTAACCTCATTTCCCAATAACCAAGTGCCTGTATTAGCTAACTATTCAAAACGATATATTTTAGGGCTATGATTGGTAGAGCAACCATCAAATAATGAGTTGAAAGGGTTTTTAGGACACCTCACATTAGAATAGAGGTATGGTATCATGAGTGTGACAAAGTTACCCAAATATTGCCTTGTAACCGTTCGATCCGTGCCCATTAACCAATGTTGTATCATAATTGTAAGATTGACCTAATTTACTATACTTCAGACCAAGGAATGATAATTAGACAACTGCAGTTAACTAAGTCACACAAAATGTGACATTTGAACCATTATAGTGCCTAACAACAATAGATTTTCTTTCTGAGCGGTGCATATGGGAGTATGGGTTACGTGGCTAATGTTCAGAACTTCTGAACATGCTAGGTTAATAGATGTCAAAATTAAGCCACTATCGTCGAAAACGCTATTATTTTTGTTTACCAATATCCTCAAACTCAAATGAACGTGTCCATATACACACACCCAGTTAGTGACTATTATATACACACACCCAGTTAGTGACTATTATATACACACACCCAGTTAGTGACTATTATATACACACACCCAGTTAGTGACTATTATATACACACACCCAGTTAGTGACTATTATATACACACACCCAGTTAGTGACTATTATATACACACACCCAGTTAGTGACTATTATATACACACATCCAGTTAGTGACTATTATATACACACCCAGTTAGTGACTATTATATACACACACCCAGTTAGTGACTATTATATACCTAATACACATCCAGTTAGTGACTACGTACGTAGTACATCCATACCAACATACTTTTCGCATAAGGTTGTAATACAATAATACTAAACCGATGCGGGCAAGGTATCGGTTAAGTTTTATAGTTGGACAATGTGATAGTGTGATAGTTAACATACCAAGTTATGAGTAGCTCAAACTGCCCCTACTTACTTACCACGGTAAGTTACCGTGAGAGAGATGTATAAACTGTAGAATAATAGAAGGAATGTTCTACTGTAATTTACAAGGCATGCTAAATACGCACCGAAAAAAACTTAACTGCACAAAGTAAGAGCTTGAGTAATGACATAAATCCTAGACAGTCAACAAATCTCTAATTTTATGTATGTCATAAAACAATGAGTATACACATTACACAATAGTGACCACATGTTGTTGTGACCAACATAATAGTGTGTCAATAACAAGAAGATGGTATGTCAATAAATTATAACCAAACAATCTGACCACATGATACTGTCCACAAAGCGACAAATAATAAAAGCTTTAAATAATTACATGCTACTTTATTTAAATAAAGTAGCATGTAGCAGACTATTGTGCTAATATTAGAATTTCTTACCAATGGAAATTATTAAGTTTTAATATGCTGGCTCGATCTGTGATGGGATCTGTATAACAGTGTACCTAGCATTAAAACAAAGCAGTATAGATACCACTTACCTTCAGATGGACAGGGTCGGACAATAATCCGGGTAACAATGACGGACAGGGCAGACAAGGCACTGACCGGAGCAACATGATCCTAATCAGGAACATTACTTACGACAAAGCCGGAGCTCTACCTGAACAAACATCAGGTTCTCAGCTTTAACACATAAATAATATCAACTATACATATTCCGGGGGGAGCCCCCTACATATTCCGGGGGGAGCCCCCCCCCCCCCCCCTCCATATTCCCCTTTCTTCTGAAGACATTTGAGATGATCACTGAAATGATTGATTATGAAATCCAATTAAGTGAATCAGAATAAAAAGTTATCAATACTTGCACTTCACCGTTCCCTTCCAATGAACCTAACAAAATGTCGCAGCAAATGAACAGCAAGGACATTGGTCGAGCAACTATCCAATAGAGATTACAAATGATACTACCTTCCTGGGCCTTGCCAAGGAGGACATCATTGCAGCTGCTCTTATAGAACAAAGTGAGTTATTGCAGCTGCTCTTATAGAACAAAGTGAGTTATTGCAGCTGCTCTAATAGAACAAAGTGAGTTAATGGAAATCAGTTCTTCTCCAATATATTTTCACCAAATTCCGATAAATATTTAATTGTAACTGTAGACAGTGCACCCCCTGCCCCTAGTAACTCTGCATATACACAGCTCAGTTCGGAGGTGACATGGAGGAGCTGGATGATGCTGGTACTTACTACAACATGGGACTGAGACGGATCACTAGTCCGGGGGTCTACAACTACATGTGTACCAGAAACAACAACTTCAGTAACAGATCTCAGAAAGGTGAAACAGATGCGGATACTGGTGGGGAGGTGCCTCATCTCCCCACCAGAATAAACATGTATACATCTTGTGAAAACTGGAAAATTTAAATGTGACAACTGCAGCATGTTAACATTACAACTGCAATATGTTAACGTAATACCTGCAGTATGTTAACATTGCAACTGTACTATGTTAACGTAATACCTGCAGTTTGTTATTGTTAACATTACAACTGTAATCTGTTAACGTAATACATACCTGCAGTATTTTAACATTACAACTGTAATATGTTAACATAATACATACCTACAGTATGTTAACATTGCAACTGTTATATGTTAACGTAATACCTGCAGTATGTTAACATTGCAACTATTATATGTTAACATAATACCTGCAGTATGTTAACATTACAACTGTAATATGTTAACGTAATACCTACAGTATGTTAACATTGCAACTGTAATATGTTAACGTAATACCTGCAGTATGTTAACATTAAAACTACAGGCCGGATAGTGATAACATCAGCGCCGTTCGTACAAAAGAAGATTGGAGCTTCCGGGGGAGAGATGGAGTTACCGAACGGGTAGGGAACATTAGTAACTTCAAATATTTGTCATATTGTTGCGCTATGGACGGGTAAGAAACATTAGTAACTTCAAATATTTGTCATATTGTTGCGCTATGAACGGGTAGGGAACATTAGTAACTTCAAATATTTGTCATATTGTTGCGCTATGAACGGGTAAGAAACATTAGTAACTTCAAATATTTGTCATATTGTTGCGCTATGAACGGGTAGGGAACATTAGTAACTTCAAATATTTGTCATATTGTTGCGCTATGAACGGGTAGGGAACATTAGTAACTTCAAATATTTGTCATATTGTTGCGCTATGAACGGGTAGGGAACATTAGTAACTTCAAATATTTGTCATATTGTTGCGCTATGAACGGGTAGGAAACATTAGTAACTTCAAATATTTGTCATATTGTTGCGCTACGAACGGGTAAGAAACATTAGTAACTTCAAATATTTGTCATATTGTTGCGCTATGAACGGGTAAGAAACATTAGTAACTTCAAATATTTGTCATATTGTTGCGCTATGAACGGGTAAGAAACATTAGTAACTTCATATATTTGTCATATTGTTGCGCTATGAACGGGTAAGAAACATTAGTAAATTCAAATATTTGTCATATTGTTGCGCTATGAACGGGTAAGAAACATTAGTAACTTCAAATATTTGTCATATTGTTGCGCTATGAACGGGTAAGAAACATTAGTAACTTCAAATATTTGTCATATTGTTGCGCTATGAACGGGTAAGAAACATTAGTAACTTCAAATATTTGTCATATTGTTGCGCTATGAACGGGTAAGAAACATTAGTAACTTCATATATTTGTCATATTGTTGCGCTATGAACGGGTAAGAAACATTAGTAAATTCAAATATTTGTCATATTGTTGCGCTATGAACGGGTAAGAAACATTAGTAACTTCAAATATTTGTCATATTGTTGCGCTATGAACGGGTAAGAAACATTAGTAACTTCAAATATTTGTCATATTGTTGCGCTATGAACGGGTAAGAAACATTAGTAACTTCAAATATTTGTCATATTGTTGCGCTATGAACGGGTAAGAAACATTAGTAACTTCATATATTTGTCATATTGTTGCGCTATGAACGGGTAAGAAACATTAGTAAATTCAAATATTTGTCATATTGTTGCGCTATGAACGGGTAAGAAACATTAGTAAATTCAAATATTTGTCATATTGTTGCGCTATGAACGGGTAAGAAACATTAGTAACTTCAAATATTTGTCATATTGTTGCGCTATGAACGGGTAAGAAACATTAGTAACTTCAAATATTTGTCATATTGTTGCGCTATGAACGGGTAAGAAACATTAGTAACTTCATATATTTGTCATATTGTTGCGCTATGAACGGGTAAGAAAAATTAGTAAATTCAAATATTTGTCATATTGTTGCGCTATGAACGGGTAAGAAACATTAGTAACTTCAAATATTTGTCATATTGTTGCGCTATGAACGGGTAAGAAACATTAGTAACTTCAAATATTTGTCATATTGTTGCGCTATGAACGGGTAAGAAACATTAGTAAATTCAAATATTTGTCATATTGTTGCGCTATGAACGGGTAAGAAACATTAGTAACTTCAAATATTTGTCATATTGTTGCGCTATGAACGGGTAGGGAACATTAGTAACTTCAAATATTTGTCATATTGTTGCGCTATGAACGGGTAAGAAACATTAGTAACTTCAAATATTTGTCATATTGTTGCGCTATGAACGGGTAGGGAACATTAGTAACTTCAAATATTTGTCATATTGTTGCGCTATGAACGGGTAGGGAACATTAGTAACTTCAAATATTTGTCATATTGTTGCGCTATGGACGGGTAAGAAACATTAGTAACTTCAAATATTTGTCATATTGTTGCGCTATGAACGGGTAGGGAACATTAGTAACTTCAAATATTTGTCATATTGTTGCGCTATGAACGGGTAAGAAACATTAGTAACTTCAAATATTTGTCATATTGTTGCGCTATGAACGGGTAGGGAACATTAGTAACTTCAAATATTTGTCATATTGTTGCGCTATGAACGGGTAGGGAACATTAGTAACTTCAAATATTTGTCATATTGTTGCGCTATGAACGGGTAGGGAACATTAGTAACTTCAAATATTTGTCATATTGTTGCGCTATGAACGGGTAGGAAACATTAGTAACTTCAAATATTTGTCATATTGTTGCGCTACGAACGGGTAAGAAACATTAGTAACTTCAAATATTTGTCATATTGTTGCGCTATGAACGGGTAAGAAACATTAGTAACTTCAAATATTTGTCATATTGTTGCGCTATGAACGGGTAAGAAACATTAGTAACTTCATATATTTGTCATATTGTTGCGCTATGAACGGGTAAGAAACATTAGTAAATTCAAATATTTGTCATATTGTTGCGCTATGAACGGGTAAGAAACATTAGTAACTTCAAATATTTGTCATATTGTTGCGCTATGAACGGGTAAGAAACATTAGTAACTTCAAATATTTGTCATATTGTTGCGCTATGAACGGGTAAGAAACATTAGTAACTTCAAATATTTGTCATATTGTTGCGCTATGAACGGGTAAGAAACATTAGTAACTTCATATATTTGTCATATTGTTGCGCTATGAACGGGTAAGAAACATTAGTAAATTCAAATATTTGTCATATTGTTGCGCTATGAACGGGTAAGAAACATTAGTAACTTCAAATATTTGTCATATTGTTGCGCTATGAACGGGTAAGAAACATTAGTAACTTCAAATATTTGTCATATTGTTGCGCTATGAACGGGTAAGAAACATTAGTAACTTCAAATATTTGTCATATTGTTGCGCTATGAACGGGTAAGAAACATTAGTAACTTCATATATTTGTCATATTGTTGCGCTATGAACGGGTAAGAAACATTAGTAAATTCAAATATTTGTCATATTGTTGCGCTATGAACGGGTAAGAAACATTAGTAAATTCAAATATTTGTCATATTGTTGCGCTATGAACGGGTAAGAAACATTAGTAACTTCAAATATTTGTCATATTGTTGCGCTATGAACGGGTAAGAAACATTAGTAACTTCAAATATTTGTCATATTGTTGCGCTATGAACGGGTAAGAAACATTAGTAACTTCATATATTTGTCATATTGTTGCGCTATGAACGGGTAAGAAAAATTAGTAAATTCAAATATTTGTCATATTGTTGCGCTATGAACGGGTAAGAAACATTAGTAACTTCAAATATTTGTCATATTGTTGCGCTATGAACGGGTAAGAAACATTAGTAACTTCAAATATTTGTCATATTGTTGCGCTATGAACGGGTAAGAAACATTAGTAAATTCAAATATTTGTCATATTGTTGCGCTATGAACGGGTAAGAAACATTAGTAACTTCAAATATTTGTCATATTGTTGCGCTATGAACGGGTAAGAAACATTAGTAAATTCAAATATTTGTCATATTGTTGCGCTATGAACGGGTAAGAAACATTAGTAAATTCAAATATTTGTCATATTGTTGCGATATGAACGGGTAAGAAACATTAGTAAATTCAAATATTTGTCATATTGTTGCGCTATGAACGGGTAAGAAACATTAGTAAATTCAAATATTTGTCATATTGTTGCGCTATGTTCACTATTCAATAACGTTAAGGAGAGCAGATCACCTGAACAACTATTAGAGGTTATACTAAACACTAAACAGATGGAGATAATCTAGACAAAGTATCACCTCTAGTACACTGAACCTCTATCAGGGACGCTTCCCTCACGATAGACCCTGAAGCTCTGGACTCAGCAGTGCTGTTCTATATCGAGGAGAACAAGGGAACACTTGAGAAGAGTACAGAGGAAGAAAACAACACCAGGAAGAAGAGACAGGCCAGTGGTAAGGCCATGCTCCTTTATAATATATAATAGTGTATAATAGTGTGCACCTTATAGAACTAAAGAAGAAAAGTGACATTTTACATGTTACGAAGGAACTGAACACGTACCGTGACATGATAAGCTGTTCTGAAACATTTCATCACAATTATTCACAAAAGAGGCCAAGGACCTACGATTTCTGACAATAAATGTTAAAATATACATAGCATCGAACCATAATCCTCCTACAATTATGCATACCAGGAGAAGCTGCCCCGGAGAAGATAGAAGACGATCTGTCTACAGAAGATGACGCCGACACGGGCTCCAGTGCATCTCAGATCATCAGCGTCTATCCTCTGGAGTTAAGAGTGGAGAAGAGCAAGGCTCATCTTAGGATCAAAGTTAGTATTAACTTTTATCTGGAAGGTTGTGTTCGTTTCTTGACATGAATTCCTAGGCGAAATAGCTTTACTTTTGATATTATAAGTTCAAATGTAACAAGTTGAAAAAAGCAGCCTATTCTATACTCCAGTATGAAGCTGACACAGCAGACACTACATTTGTTGCCATGGTTACGGACCAAGGAACCTACGCCTCACTTCCTGACTCCCGGATTGAATCTATGGATAGTGGAAATGCCAAATTCAAAATATCAGGAGGTGGAAAATATCAGGTAAGGAACCTAATACATATAATATATTAATATATAATAGGGATCTGGTATAATTAATTATAATGAGTGAGAGGACTGAGGAGCCTTTTAAAATGATAACATTGAGGACTCTCCTAATTGATAACTTCACTAATTGATTTTAAGTTCCTAATTACAACTTCAAATTTCAGGTCCTCAAATACCCCTACGTACCAGTTATCATTGCTTTCTGCATTCTGGCAATCGTCTTGTCAGCTCTTATCATAGGTATTTATTCCTTAGTAATCATTAGTTTATTAGTTTATTAGTTAGTATAACTCTCTTAATCTTAGTAGTCATTATTTACTAATAGTCAACTGTTTGCTTTAATTTGTTTATTTAATAATAATATAACTGCTCAGGTTTGGTGATATTCTTCTGGAAGAACCCTCAAGCTAGATACAGGGTTAAGAGGCTGCTCGGTCAAGACGTGTAATCCTCAACTCACATTTACAACCCTACTTCTAAGCCATTTTTTGATAATAGCCGTTAAACACAGTGAAGTGATTATAAATATCACTTTTAGAATAGATTTGATATTGGCTGCGTTTGTTACGTGGAATAAACACGATTTTAGAGATCTACAATCAGGGAACGGCTACCGTGATATGAAAGACATTGTACACGATACTGTTAAAGTTGGCACTTACTTAACATTCAAATCCGTCATCATCATATTTTCAATTGTCATATTTATTTTTCTGTTTGCTAGAATTAAAACAGTTTCTCTGAATTTAGATAAATATAAAAATACATCAGCTCTTCTAATCTAAAATAAAATAAAATCTCCCCCCGATCAAAACAGTTTTAAAGTTTTAAATAAAATGAATTGAACTACTCTATACCTCGCAATATTCTGACAAAAACTAACTCTCAATGTAATATCTAAAAACACAGTCAAAGTGGTCTTTAGTCGTTAAGAAAGCCCCAAGGATCCTTCTCCAAGGACCTATCATCCTTCTTTAGGGTTTCTAGAACTATTTGCTTCAAAACTTCGTAAATAGCTGACTTGGTGAATCCTAACACGGAATCAGCCTCTTTATCACTGGAAATATATTATACTTGTAAGTAAGAATCTTAAAACCATTCGAAGAGAACAAGAAAAACATTCATTACAGCAGATATTAAAAGACTGATGTTAAAAATCCAGACAGAAGGAGGGGATGGTTTCTGAAAATCCCCTAAGAAACTATACTTACGGTATAACTTGTAGATGGTCTATAGTTATCCAAGGGTTAGCGTCTGAGTGCTGCGCTTGTTGTTCTGATTAACTTTTCCTATCATTACAACCTAAAGTATACAGAATTGTTTGCCATAAGACTCAAATTTTTGAAGTTTTGTGGCGTAAAACTGAAATAATGCTTCATATGAACAATTTATAGAATATATTGCTTTACAAGTCGTATGAAAATAAATAAGAACTACACACACCAGTAATTTGTATATAAATCTAAATATAAATGTAATTGTAAAGTAATTAACTAAAGTACCTGATCGCCTAGTTTGACCGTATTGTTTCTGAGAAGGAAAGGAACGCAGCTAAAGTGAACAGGGGCTCCATCCCCGCACACTACACGTCCTTTACTCGGACCTGTTTCACAAGTCACATTAGAAGACTATTAGAAGTATTTTGGAAGAAAAATTAAGAAAAATTAGGGTTAGATCAATAACTGTAAGGTAACTGGAGCAGGGGGAAAGTTTAACAATAAAAAATAAAACAATTTGCTTACCTCTCTTTCCCCCGTGTTGTAGATTCACCAGTTTAGCTCTTATTAGAACGAAGTTGCCCCGAAACTGAGGAATATCTGTCCCTTTGATAATCTTGGGCATGTCACTTATCTTTCTCATCGACTTAGCCCCAGACTGTAAAATAGGGTAACAATAAAGTTGATAAAATATGAGATATGTATATGTAATCTGCCTGGAGGCCTTCAGGTGATAAATACTGTAAACATCAGATTAAATCACAGGATGCACTACATATAGAATTCGTTGTAACTTTGTTTGAAAAGCATTAATAGACTGCGTGTACTGTGTCGGAACCCTGATAAGCGGTAATAAGTTGTAGCGCAGCGTCTGAATACATAGGTGTGACCATATATGTTGCATTGAAAGTTCTGAGGATAAGCAGTGTTCACTTCCCTTTCCTTTTTTAATGAGTTTTTGAGCAATTAAACCAAATTCGAGTGAACAACAAGACCAGCTAGCGTCTAGCGAGCATGATATCAAGATGAGGATATATTTGCGGGAATTCTTTATGCGCGCGCTAAGTTTGACTGGCTGCGCGCGTACAAATCATAAAATATAACACCGCGCCCTACTAAGCTCATAAAGAGTAGACCCTTTTGAATTTAGAACGCATAATAGGTTGCCAATCACGACACTGTTCGACAATTTGTCTCAGCCCTAAACACTAAACATGAACAGAAGAACTGCCAAATCCAGTCCCATTATATATTTATACGGACTTAAACTTCCAATATTAATCTTAAGATATGGCTCATAATTAATTTTGATATGATAAGTAATACAAGTATCTACAAGAGTGAAAGGATGTAAACTATACTTACAGGTGATGATGAAGCTAAAAACTTCAAACAAGCTACGTGTCTGGGGTTTAAGTCTTCAATTCGCTCCACTGCTACTATCGTCTGATTATTCATGTTTTTAAAGGGAGTTCCTTCTACTATCACCAGACTACTCTCTACCCTGCATATTTTGTAGATTTCAAATGTGTGTGTGAAATATAAATCGTACATGATAATAAAACAGAAAACTAGAACCTCTAGTGCACTAAAAGTATAATAGCGTTATCAGTATGGTTATAGTATAACACAGTAGAACTGTTCTCAGACGACGTGTCCAGAATCGAACTAACCTGTAGCTAGATTTGAAATGCAAGACAACTTTAGAGCCAGCTTTAGAGAGAGTAGCAGTGGTAGAGGTTGCATTGGAGAGTGTTCCCCAAATTACAATGCTACTTTTTATATGCGTTGGAATGTCCGTTATAAGTACTGTAGGCGAGTACGGTACAGAAGATGCGCCCCTGTAATAGTGTAGTGTAGTGTAGTGTAGTGTAGTGTAGTGTAGTGTAGTGTAGTGTAGTGTAGTGTAGTGTAGTGTAGTGTAGTGTAGTGTAGTGTAGTGTAGTGCAGTGCAGTGCAGTGCAGTGCAATGCAGTGCAGTGGAGTGTAGTGTAGTGTAGTGTAGTGTAGTTAATAATATTGTCAGGGATCGACCGGGGACGAAATTTAGCCGGGGCCGGGGCCGGGACCAAGTTGAATCAGCCGGGGCCGGGATTAACCGGGATTTTGAAATGTTGCCAAGGCCGGGGCCGGGGCCGGGATTGGCTAAAATATGCCGGGGCCGGGGCCGGGATTTTTTAATCTAATTTTGAACATTTTTGAAAGTTTCCGGAAACTCGTATCAATGTGAGCTAGCTTCAAGGTCAACCTAGAAGGCAGCTACACAATGTTTAAAGGTTGAGGAACGATTATTTCTCTTTAATAGTTAAATGTAACTCAGAAAGGCTTTCTTGTAGCCGGACATAGATATTTCGGACACTGAAGCTGACACCGGAAACGAGTAGTCGTCTGTGATCTGATGACTATCATCATCATCTGCATTGAGTCGGCCTCACTCTCTACTGTTTTTTTGCTCCTGAACTAAATTGTTTGACGTTTGTACTAGTTATATGAAAGAAAACGGTACACGAACACATGACTTTACTCGAACTTTTTAATCAACCTCGAACTTTTTAATCAACATTAATATTTTACATTCTTTATAAATTCAAAGTTGAAATTTTCTGAATATCAAACTGGAATGATGTCAAGTCCTCGTATTTATATTTTTCACTCGATCTCATGTTACCGAATATTTTGTGTTTAATTTAAGTCTAAAAATCAAGATAAATTCTGATAATCTATCGATTTAAATTGAGGCAGAAAATACGAGAAATCCCGGCTAAATCCCGGCAAAAATTGACAAAAAGCCGGGGCCGGGATTGGGGGCCTCTGGCCGGGGCCGGGATTTTGGAAATTGTTTTGCCGGGGCCGGGGAAAAAACACAAATCCCGGCCGTATCCGGGGCCGGGATCCCGGTCGATCACTGAATATTGTCATTCAGTTAAAAGAGCACTATTTGATACCTGTTTTCAGCTGGTACAAGGGGAGGGGGCTTGTTTTCAATATTTCTGTGCACTGGTTGATTCGTTATTTCTTTCTCATAGCCGTCCTTTGATTGTCATATTTAACAGTGCCACTCATCATCATAGTAGTAGTAGTCATCATCGACTCTTTGTATCTGATATCACTCGATCCGAATCTATGTTCATTTGATCCTGATCTATGTTCATTTGATCTGATCTATGTTCATTTGATCCTGATCTATGTTCATTTGATCTTGATCTATGTTCATTTGATCCTGATCTATGTTCATTTGATCCTGATCTATGTTCATTTGATCCTGATTTATGTTCATTTGATCCTGATCTATGTTCATTTGATCTGTGATGAGATTTCTGAGAACTATTTGAAATGTTGTCGGACGTGTTTTCTTTATCATTGAGTTTTGACCAGGACTGAGCCACTATCTCATAACTGTCAAACTTCTGCTTACTCTCTGCTTTAGTTTTACCAGCACATCGCTTCTCACATATACCCTGGAAATACAGTAATACAAATATTAAGTATTACTACTAGTATGCAAGTTTAAAGAAACAATTAAACAAACACATCTTAGTATGTGTCCAGTCATACAGTAGTACGTCTGCAACCTTTGAGGATAAATCACTGACCTTTACAGAGATAAAATTAGAAGCATTCATAACGTCGTATTCAGCAGACAAGTCTCCTCTCAGCGCTACTTGTGTAACCCCTGCAATGTTCAACAATTGAAGAGAAGTTAAGTTTTTATAATAATTGGACAACACTAGCCCTGCTACAGTAAAACCCCGATTTACCGCGGGTTTTGGGGAAGGCTAAAACCCGCGGTAAATCGGGTTTGCGTTAAATCAGGGTTTTGGTTTTTGGGGTCCAAAATTGGCCAAAAAGGGTGGGAAAGACCTTTAATCCATAGAATTTTGATAGTCTTACGATTGTACTCAGTAATTTAATAGTATCAACATGTTTGCAGTACATCGCAAATTGTATCGAAATCTGTAATTATCACTAGCTATCAACATCTGTTTGTTCAGATCGGATCACATATTTCCCCTGTAGTACGAACTGACCCTTCTCAAACACAGTGGTGCCCTGTCATAGGAGTACTGACAAGCATCACAGCAGCAAAGGAGTTATACGAGAATATGGTCAGGTGATTCAATAAAGCAATAAGCAGTGTGGAGCACGAGCTCTCCCCCAGAAAAATTCGGGGGAAAGGAAATAACCGAAGTAAATCGGGGCACAGTAAATCGGGGTTTTACTGTATATTGAATAACAAGAGAACAAATCAAAGGTGAATACAAATAAAAGAAGAAGGATATATATTATAACAAAGTCTAAAACCTGTAGAGTCGGAGAAATTAAGAAGTTTAACTCTGCGGCTAATATTCTCAGAGGGCACTATGTAACATCGGGTTATTTTACCCTGCAACTCAACGTACTTCTTCCACGGTTTACCACGGTTCACATCAGCTGTAGTAACTAACTTATACACTATTTCCTGAGTGTATAAAGACAGTTTCAAATTAAAATATATTGCCCATTATATTAGTGATTTAATTTAAATTGAAAGCGGGTCATCTCTTACAATTTAATTAGTTGATTGGACTGGGATGGGTACTAGCCAATGCAGTAGTTATTCATCTATACTTGAACCATACCGAAAACCAGATGAATTTATATAAAATCGAAAAGCCTAAAATCAATTTATGGGTTATTATTAATTATCATACATATTAAAAGCTAGCTATTACCTCTTGAGCAGTGTCAGTACCACTACCACTACTAAGTGGTGCAGACCTGTAGTAAACTGTGGTCTCTTTTGTTGTATTACTCAACCCAGGGGAAGTGCTGTGTGTTTTAGTGAGCAAGTTGTTGTTGTTCTGAATAAAGGCATTTCGCAATGCACTCCGCCCAATAAGGGGTGGTGGTTGGGATTGAATGGACTGGACAGAAATACTATCACTATCAACTTGCTCTAGGTCACTGTTATTTTGGTCACTTGTCAAGCTGAAACTTCCACCTTGATCTGACTCTGACAATATTGAAACACTATCAATCTGAATATCAAGATCACCAATCGATCCCTTCTCTGATGTAGTATCAGCACACTCCTTAAGTTCAGTAGCTCCGATTTCCACTGCATCTTTTCTGCTTGTTAAATTGTTAACAATATTTGGTAATGAGAAAGGATCAGTCCATGTTCCACTTGATGCACACTCATTCACATCTGAAGTAGTGCTGACACTGATGATAGAAACTATGTCATCTTCTCTTTCATGTTCAGAAACTATGTCATCTTCTCTTTTATGTTCAGACTTACTAATCAAGCTTATTTGGTCTGATTCATGATTTGATTCACCATTGGTGGATTTTGGTTGATCAATTGACTGTGATGTTTGGCTATTTCGATATATTGCTTCGGGATCTGTAATCTGTTCAGCTAAGTAGTTGCCATTACAGACTGTTGCTTCCTGTTTGAGATCATTTGTTCCCAACAAATCTAATCTTTGGAGTAAGCAGGGGTCCAAAATACCATTAAAAACCTTATAATCACAGTTAGAGCAGGTCTTGAAGTGATCCAATAGTTCAACAACAGAACCAATCAATTCTGATGGCTGCACCATTGCACTACCTTCTTGCATGTGGCCTATGAGTATTTACAGGTGAGTGTTATAATTGTAATAACAGAACCACCTGTGAACAAATTTAATAAGATCGTTTCTCACCCTGATTAGTAAATAGGGTCTAAAGAACCCCAAAAAATAGTCCAACGCCAATCAATAGGCATCACTTTATACAGCCAATTGGTCATATTGAATCAGGATATGCGGTTGTGTGAAAGTCCATATCTCAGCTCCCAATGGGAGTTCAGAGGTCTACAGCTCCATCAAGATGACTACAATCATCACATTTGGGGGCAAATGATGGTTTGGAAGGATACTCATTGTTGCCCAATTTCGCATCACAATTTGAAGAAAGAAAACAACAAATTAGATAGCACCCTTCAAGTTTGGGTAATTGCTGCAGGCAGGGATACACCATTTAAAATCATTTGTTTCTGATTTTGGTTAGTAAAACAAAATTTTTAGTAAAACAAAATTTTTATTTACCACAAAACAATCAATACATATTTAATATTATTATACATTTACAAATAAATCTAAATTTAAATTCAGCTATATACACAATACACAGCCCGCCGCGCAGACAGCCACACATTGCTGAGAGATTCTCAGGTGCAGATGTAAGCGCCGCGCGCGAGGTTTGTTATCTTACAATTACATATACATGTCACGATATATTATTAATTATCAGAGAATTTTAGAAGCAAAATAATAATTGCATATTGGGAAAATTTCGGTCGTTAACGCAGTACAGGGCGTGGACACTGCAATGCTAATAACGGAAAGTTCTGAGGCACGAGTTTCATTCAGCTACCCAATTTATATGTGACATGTACTTGTATTAAATTCAGATAAATGTTAGTAACAATCGACGCCAACATTGCGCAACTGTAAACTGCAAAATGTTAACGTCGATTATCACTAAATCACATCTCGCAAGTTACTAATTCTTTGCACTATATATGTTACGTCACTATAGCATATGTCATTCATATTGTACGTTATATAAGATAAAAATAAACATTTTATAATTGTTTCAATGTTCAACACTGCTAAAAAACAAATACCTACTTGCCCATCGATTAAGCAGTCGCCAAAACAAGGCTCAAAGTTAATTTACCTTCACACCTCGTTTTGGAGACTGAAGGATGTCAATAAATAAATAATGGATAATATTAATACTGAATATGATGGATAATCAGTAATATCAATAAAATCCACAATCACTAATCATGTTTTCGATGGGCAAGCACTCGCAACTGGATGCTGAAACAAACGGCGCAAGTCTTGCACCGTTCATGCAGCATACGTCGCGAGATATCATGAGCTCCGCTAACTCTGCGATTCTAACGGATGAATTAGGCTACCCCGACAGAAACACAGGTAACAGGGGGTTGTGGAAGGACACGAACACTGTTCGTTAACTCGTACCCCGGGTACCCCCTATATAGATCTATGTCCCGCCGGAGAGAGCCCACCACCAGTCATATCGAAAGCAGCTTTTAATTCTGAATTATAAATATCAGTTATCACGTCGTCATAATAAATAATATACATTACCACTACACACTTGTCACTACACACTTTTATGCACAGTACAACTAAAATATTAACAAGAGACAGAAGAGTTTTACATCGGCTCAGCACCGCAAGGACGTTGGCTATACACGTGGTTCATAAATTAGTTTGATTTGGGTACGGTTCGACCGGGAAAGTGGTCGGGATTAGTTCTCATAATGAGTGATCACTGTCGTCAGATATATTAGAGTTAAGAAGGCTGGAGTTAAGAAGGCTGGAAAATTTTAAATTAGAACGATACATTCGATTAAATATAAATTATAAGGGAAGTTGATGTTAACAATGTCCAAGAATGATACAAAATTATGATTAAATTGAATTTCAAAACAATGATTATAGAGTCAACAATCAAATGGTATTTTTGATCATTTCGTCCGTATTATTTTACACAATATAAAACCTACAAAAACATTTATGAATTTACATTCACAAATCTAGGACTTCAAAGCTCGTATTTTGAGGGATGAAGTTGGAAAATACGACATTCAGTCCACCACTCTCATTTCACAACTCCCATCTACCATTCTCCCATCTTATAATGACTTTATATCAAGATCCACCAAAACTTAAGCTTTTTGACTACTCCTACAAGATTAGCCTTGCTAAAAGTCGCCTGAACAAGGCACTCCTAAAGCTGCAACATGCTTAAAATGATTCAGCATAGACCTCAAGCGATTATGACATAATGCAGTAGTCATTTGAAAACAATCCCCTCCAACAAATTTAATTCATTGTTCTCGGCCCACAGGTTCCCCTATCGAAAATTTGATTTTGGTAAAAGTGTGCTGAGTCGGGAGTCCACCACCTAATCACTTATGTATTTAACCTAATATTTAGTATAGTACAGGTGAAACATTAGGTAGGTATTTTTATCTTAAGTAGATATTAAGAATTTGGTAAATTTCTAAATTGTATGATTATTTTCCATTATTGAGACGTTTTTGGTACTTAATTAAAAGTGCTGATGACTCCCCCGCTGCATTAGCGTTAATATAAAGTTTGCTGTCACAACAAACTGTAAAGGGCGCGTCGGTGCGCATCGTAAGAATTTGTTGAAGATTATTATGAATGATTTGACCCGTAGAGGTTTAAAACTTAACTCTTTGAATGATCTTAATAAGCTTAAGATATAACATTGGATATAGAGGCTCACTCCAAAACACCATCGACAACATCCCCAGTGAAACCATCACCTGCTACACAGACGGGTCACGCACAGACTCAGGTAGCGGGGCTGGTTATATTATCACCACAGACAACAACAACACTACACTAGATGAAAGATCATTCAAGCTTCCCGATTATTGCACCGTTTATCAAACAGAACTCACTGCCATCATCGAAGCTTGTAAATATCTATCAACTTATACAAACACACACATCATCATATGGTCAGACAGTCTCTCCTCTATTCAAGCCATATCCTCACCTTCAACGAGGAGTAGGACTACAAGAGACTGTTACGACACCCTCAATACACTCGGATCCACTAACACCTTAGAGATCAGATGGATAGCTGCACACATTGGATTGTGGGGTAATGAAAAAGCAGACGAGCTGGCCAAAAATGGTACAACCAGTGAATCCACTTTGAATTGCCCAATTCCACAATCTTACATCAAACGCCTGATCAACGACAAAGTCACAAAACTTAATCAAGAATCATGGATTACTGATGGTCCCAGACACACTAAACTGACACTTGGACATAAAAACATCAACATCATCAAAAATCTCAACACTACACTCAGTAACAACAGACAAAATTATAGAACTGCAGTGCACCTCATCACGGGACATTGTGGCCTCAACAAACACCTACACACCATTCGCAAATCAGACACAAGTGCTTGTCCTAAATGCGGCGACGAAGAGGAGACTGTCTCACACTTTCTCGGACAGTGCCCGGCTATTGCCCAAATAAGAGGTCAATATTTCCGGGACTACTACCTCTCTGTCAATGACATATTCGACAACCAACACATCTCCACCATTGTCAACTTTACAAACCACACTAAACGCTTAGTGGTGCCAGAGGAGTTGGACCAGACAGGTGTAACATAGCGACTACTTTAACGCCGTCTTATTTCGCCTCTCTCTTCCACACTCAACCACCACTTAAGCGTTTATCTATGACACACCCCACAACACTTACCATCATCCTTGATTACACATCTTGATTCCACTGGCATCCTCCCACAGGACTGCCATACCCCAGAGGTAGGCAAAGCATTCATATGCTATCCTCTCGTGGGCCAACCAGGCCCAGCCTCTCTAAAAAAAAAAAAAAAAAAAAAAAAAAAAGCTTAAGATATTAGCCGATGATAGAGTTGCTCGGAGAAACAAATTTTAACTCTAGCTGTCTTGCTCTGTACTGATCACCATTTTAGGATGACTTGATTTCTTTTAGGGGTTTTGAATATTTTAATGGTGTAAACAGTTTCTTAATAATAATTAAAAAGGGTTTTTGTAATTTCATAGTGTGAACAGATTCCAAATTTATATATTTTTAAACTGATATTTAATAAATGATTACAATAACCAATTTTAAAGTTGTCATATTGCAGCCTTTAGGTACAAAAATATACTTATTAAATTATGCTCACTTAGAAACATTTTTATATTATTGATTGACGATTAGTGTGGTTGGTTTTATCCGATTTTTTTAGATTTTTATGGAGGTTGTACCATTGTAAAACTTACATTGTGACAGTATAGATGGCGAAATATTTTTGAAAATGGTCCTAACACAGCTTTGATCGTAACAATAACATTGGGTGAATAGATTGGGTGAACAAACTATGAAGCAGGCAATTATATGTGCTCATCCATCATTCTGCATATGTAAGCTCAGTAGTTTAATTGCTGATTCATACTCAATGGTGAATCGATAGAATTCATGTGTCGGAGATCTCGTGAGAACACCTTTTAATAATTATAGCCCTCAGGATCGCATTATCCCGATCCGGCCGTAATGTGTATTGAGGTATGCACTAATTGTAGTGGTGAACGGTTGCAGCTCAGGCTATGTTTCAGTATAACTATATATCAGAGATCGCAGTATATTTACACATTACATTCTACTCGGATTGCAGATTGAAATATTTTCCTGTTGGAACCATGACACATGCATGGGAATACCAAAATATTAATTGTAGTTGTACAACTAATATGATCAATAATTAATAACGGCAACGCTAATTTGTCCTTATTGGACTTTATTTTTACGGACATAAGTTAATAGTTGCTGCAAATGCCAAATGCTACAACTACAAGTTAAGCCCTATAAGCGTTCATTTTAATGTCCGTTCATTTCAATTTTAATATCCGTTCGAATATTGGCGGACGTTTTAAATTGTAATTAAATAGACCATTGAGCGGTCGCGTTTATTTTAATGTCCGCTCAAAATTATTCCCGTTCACATTATTTCCGGTTGCAGTACGGGTAAA